AGGTCACTGTGACCGGTTCTCTTAATTGGAACTACAGGTCACGAGTCTTGGATTGGTGCACACTAGCAATTTAGAGTGATGCATATCAAGATGGCAAGGCTTGTTTTTGTCAGGTTACACAAGAGTCCCTCTCATCCTGCCTTTCCCCTTAACAAAAAACAAAACAGTATTGGCAGCCAATGGAACAGATACTGTTCCCAGAAATCAGGGGGGTGAGTGGCGCAATGAGGGGAAGATTTCTGACCCTGACGAATCCTTCGGGAATCATCAGGAGGTTGGAACTAGAGGGAAGATATGTGGTCGCTGAAAACAAGTGTCCTATTCTTGAAGCGAACTCTAAAAGGAGCTTACTGGCAGAAGAACAGTGCTTGAGAGGGAGAGATTACTGTTAGTAGAATAATTATTTTGAGGAAGTGGCCAGAGTTAGTGCATGAGGCAGAATAACGGATTTAAAAAAGATGGACTGATGAGTAACTAGTCGTTTTTGTCCTATAGGTTAATTGGTAAAGAGCTGCATGAAGGTTCAACATGTTTATTTTGGTATTGGGCAGTGTTAGCTTGTTCGGTTACTTCATGTTAATCCCCTTGACACCATCCAAGAGACTAGAATTACTCCACTATTCAGAGAAGTACTTATTAGGTACCCAAGCAGCCCCTGTTCAAATTAACTAAAGAGATTAACACAGAGCAATTAACTCCTTTTTAATGTTGTATACTTTGGAGGAATACCTGGGACTCTTGCAACAGAAGGTGAATTCATACAGAGGAGTTCAGTCTTATAAACTTTATTTACTTAATTCCACACATCTCAATTTCTTCCAGAGAAATCCAAAAGTTGTGAGCTCGGAGTCATGGGGGGCTGGAGTTTGGTGTGGGGCATTCAAGCCCCTGTGACATCATTCCCTCAGTTCAGTAGTGACTCAATAGAGCTCCAGACTTTGGTTGGAGGGCTGAACCATGGCCAATCGACTGGATAAATACGGTTTGAAGAGGGGAGTCGAAGTGCCCTCGGAATCCTAATGAAGCGGCCTTTTGTGAAGCCTTTCACAGTACAAAACAAGAGACCGGGCTATTGCCAACCGCTCCACCAGAGGTGTCCGTTGCCTTGGCAACCCCAGACTAAAAAAAATTGTTGATGGTCGACTGTTGTCCGTTGAGTGACAGGTCAGTACAGCGAAAGTATAAATGAGGCTTTAACCGTCTAAACACTATGCTTCACAAACCACTTAAGCAATGTCATACATAAAAGAGTGATATAAAATACCCTTACATCTGGTGCTTTGCCAAATGTAGCATAACCTGTTTGTCATCCTTTAGCAAGCAAGGCATTAGTTCCTGGATGACATTTGAAGCCTTTTCATGGCCTTAAGCAGTTTATGAGGGCTTTAAGCCTTAACAGTTGTAGTTCAGTAAAAGTGTGACCACAACATTTTATCTTCCAAAATCTTGGGTGGCAAATGTAATAGAAAGGATTTTTATTTTTTTCAACGACTGACTGGGCATTTATTTTGGATCGAGTCATTGTTTAGGAACACTTCTCCCCATCAGGGAGTGTGGTGAACTATGCCAATAAGATTGGTAGAGGTGATGGTTTGGTCAATACAGCCCAGCCAATAAGATTGCTAGAGGTGATGGTTGGTCAATACAGTCCAGCCAATAAGATTGCGAGAGGTGATGGTTGGTCAATACAGTCCAGCCAATAAGATTGGTAGAGGTGATGGTTGGTCAATACAGTCCAGCCAATAAGATTGGTAGAGGTGATGGTTGGTCAACACAGTCCAGCCAATAAGATTGGTAGAGGTGATGGTTGGTCAATACAGTCCAGCCAATAAGATTGGTAGAGGTGATGGTTGGTCAATACAGTCCAGCCAATAAGATTGGTAGAGGTGATGGTTGGTCAATACAGTCCAGCCAATAAGATTGGTAGAGGTGATGGTTGGTCAATACAGTCCAGCCAATAAGATTGGTTGAGGTGATGGTTGGTCAATACAGTCCAGCCAATAAGATTGGTAGAGGTGATGGTTGGTCAATACAGTCCAGCCAATAAGATTGGTAGAGGTGATGGTTGGTCAATACAGTCCAGCCAATAAGATTGGTAGAGGTGATGGTTGGTCAATACAGTCCAGCCAATAAGATTGGTAGAGGTGATGGTTGGTCAATACAGTCCAGCCAATAAGATTGGTAGAGGTGATGGTTGGTCAATACAGTCCAGCCAATAAGATTGGTAGAGGTGATGGTTGGTCAATACAGTCCAGCCAATAAGATTGGTAGAGGTGATGGTTTGGTCAATACAGCCCAGCCAATAAGATTGCTAGAGGTGATGGTTGGTCAATACAGTCCAGCCAATAAGATTGCGAGAGGTGATGGTTGGTCAATACAGTCCAGCCAATAAGATTGGTAGAGGTGATGGTTGGTCAATACAGTCCAGCCAATAAGATTGCTAGAGGTGATGGTTGGTCAATACAGTCCAGCCAATAAGATTGGTAGAGGTGATGGTTGGTCAATACAGTCCAGCCAATAAGATTGGTAGAGGTGATGGTTGGTCAACACAGTCCAGCCAATAAGATTGGTAGAGGTGATGGTTGGTCAACACAGTCCAGCCAATAAGATTGGTAGAGGTGATGCTTGGTCAATACAGTCCAGCCAATAAGATTGGTAGAGGTGATGGTTGGTCAATACAGTCCAGCCAGGCAGTCCATAATTAGGGCAGCTAGCGAAGCCACCTTGCCAAAACTGAGCGCTTTCACATGTCAACTTCTGTAGGGATAAGTTCAACCGGCTTCCCATTTTGTTTGAATATAAGTCTTTGGTCCAAACATTGAGAGAAGAGTGCGACATTGAAAAAAAAATGAAATAAAATAAGCTTGTTTAATATACAGGAGAGATTTATTCAGTTCATAATTACATCTGGTTTTGACTTCAATATTGTTCCTAAAGTGTTGCAGTGAACTGGCATGGCAGTGCAAACGGTACAGTACAAATAAACATGCTTGGAAACGGGGTCACTCCTATCTGGTATCTACAATGACAGTGTAACCAATCACATCATTCAACAGCCTCAACACTGAGCAAGTAAAGAAGTCGACAGACCACATAAACAACGTTTTTTGGTTTAGTAAAATAAGAGACGTACATATCAGTACTTAAAAAACATGCAGTCAAATAAAATAAAAAACAGGTAACAGGAGTAGTATTTACGGTAAAAAAAACAACACTCCCACTGTGTTGTCCAGAATAAAATAACTTTTATGGTACAGCTTGCCAAATCGTTGGCAGCTCACTCAAATCACACTTCACTGTACGCACAAAATGTAAAAAGTTGGATTTAAAAGACTTGTGTAGGATATTTTTTGTTTGTTGCCATTTACTCCTATCCTTTTTAGCAAAGACTCAACATGGTCCTTTGACTAAACAACTATCTTTTAAAAAAAAATCCATCATCTGCAATATACACTAATAGTTGTTTTCTAAATATTGCTACCACATGGCATGGCTGGGCTACTGGGGAATATATAATGAGTTAACACAGTTTATTATTCAATCTTAAAAAGACATGCTCCGGAACTTTGGCGACTAGTAGTATTTTATAAACCCCCCGCTTTGGGCTGGATGTGTCAACGTGTAGTTCATACATACATAATCTATGAGCAGAATTACTGTCTTACCGCAATTAGCCACAAAATCTCTAGTTTGGAAGATGTGCGGCGCCATTTTCCCTAAATTTTTCCCCACATGGGTCAGCCCCCTAGCAAATCAAGTTCAAGCCAATGAGCTTCAGCCCCTCGCCATTTGAGTGACAGCTAGCAAGATGCACACACAGCAGAGCGAGAGAGAGAGCAATGACGTGGTGCACATATCTGCACGTGACGTAGTACGCAATTTTCGGGGACCACTTTTGGCTCGTGAGCGCTACTTTCAGAACTACTGGCTAAAAAGTATACAAAAGCTCCGGAACATCTCTTTACGTTTTAAAAGTACAGTATATATCATTTAATATTAAGTTTAAAAAAAGGTTTTAGAATTGGAAAACTCCACTAATGGTCATATATTGCTACTTTAGGATCAGCTCAAATCACAATGAATACTCAAAACATAAGTCATTGAACCTAGACAGTCAGGCATATAGAAACATGGACGTCACTTTGAACCTAGACAGTCAGGCATATAGAAACATGGACGTCACTTTGAACCTAGACAGTCAGGCATATAGAAACATGGACGTCACTTTGAACCTAGACAGTCAGGCATATAGAAACATGGACGTCACTTTGAACCTAGACAGTCAGGCATATAAAAACATGGACATCACGTTGAACCTAGACAGTCAGGCATATAAAAACATGGACATCACTTTGAACCTAGACAGTCAGGCATATAAAAACATGGACGTTACTTTGAACCTAGACAGTCAGGCATATAAAAACATGGACACAATTTGAACCTAGACAGTCAGGCATATAAAAACATGGATGTTACTTTGAACCTAGACAGTCAGGCATATAAAAACATGGACGTCACTTTGAACCTAGACAGTCAGGCATATAAAAACTACAGTGAAGGTTTGCTTTTCCAATCACATTCCACCGTTCCTCATTTGGTGCAAACAAATGACTGCATCGGTAAAGGATGCTTTCATAAGACAACTCATCGCTGTTTCTATTATTTGTGAGCAATTATTTGGTGTTTGTTGTGACCATTGTGGTAAAAAATTACTTGTGCATCCTTTGTGACAAGCTAAGCGCTTGCTGTGTATAGGTGTTCATAGTTGATGTGAGTAACTGAGCAGTGAACACATTGACCAGAGTAAAACTGTGACTGTACATTTCTGGAAGTAGCATTATTCTGCTTGATTAAATACATTTAAAAACACAACCTGTCAAGATATACAGAATTTAATTTATTTAAAAATTAACAATTTACCTTCCTAGAAAGCTGGATGGAATTTTAAATGAGTTTTGCTTCAGTGTCTCTCACGCTTCATTCCAAAACGAGTCTGATTCTCAGAGCTGGAGCATGAAAAAGACCTCGTCGTTGTCAGAGTTCAGGGATGTCTGGGACTGTCTGTTAGGGGGCCCTGGGGGGCTGAGCTGGCTCAGCAGGTCCAGGCTAGCGCAGGGGCTCCGGGCTACGCAGCACGCCCCCTCCGGGTTCCCCCGCTCCTCCATGGGGCTACCGCCACCGCTAATGCTAGTGTTAGCAGCGCCAGTAGCGGGGTGAGGCTGGTTGAGACCCTGCAGCCTCTGCCTCTCTTGGGCCTGCTTGGCCCTTTTGGCGATGTAGCGCACCCTGCTCTGGCTCCGGGACGACGTCCTCCGTAGCGGGGGCTCCTCCTGAGCCTCCGCCAGGGGCCCCTGCTGCACCTGGGGGGCGAAGTCGCGAGCCGTCAGGGGCTCCACGTCCGTCAGCCTCCTCAGCTGCTCAGTCAGGTCGCTGGGCAGCCGGGGCCTCTGGGGGTTAGGGTAACCCCGCCGCGGGTCATTCCGGGAAGGCCTAATGCTGAAGCTGCGGCTGATGCTGCGGTACTTGCTGTCAAAGTTGCAGGCGATGTCATCCGAGGTCAAGTCCCCCAGGCTCTTGGACATAGAGGCCCCGGTATCCAGGGGGCTGGTGGCGGAAGCAGCAAGGGCTGCTACTGCAGAGGGCTTCTTGGCTGGGGGGGAGGATTGCTTCAGCCCTTCCATGTAGAGGCGGCTCCAGGTGTGCCTCCTCTGGGTTATTCTGCTGGGTGAGTCCACTGGAGGCTCCCTGGGGGCGCCGAGGGGCCTGGGCTGCAGCTCGTCCTCTGGCTCCCCCAGGTGGCCCTGCAGGAGGTTGGGGTTGGACTTGCTCTTGCTGACCCGTGGCGTGTCGAAGGAGGCAATGGCCGAGCGTGGCCGGTTGACCCAGGAGGGTGGGTCCGGGAAGATGTCGTCGCCCAGGGAGGGTCCGCTGCTCAGACAGGTGAGGGTCTTCCTGGCCAGGTTGGGCAGGGACAGGTCAATGACGGTGTCGTTGGACGATATGCTGGAGGACGAGGACACGCTGTCTCGGTGGCCGCCTGGCTTGGGCTCCAGCTTGCTCCACAGCCGGTCGTTCAGGGTGGCGTCGGTGCACACCTCTGGCATGGCTGATGACTGCTGCTGCCCCACTGCAACCGCCCGCACGTGGCCCTCACTTTTGGTCCTTCTGACGGGCGTGTTCTTCGGGCTGCCGCCAAACAGCGCTCTCAGGGCCTGGACTTCCAGAGGGCTGGAGTCTACAGAGGGGTCGGCGAGAGGAACAGGAGACTCTGCGCTTGGCTCGGTCTTGAGCTCTGCGTCGTCCTTTGTGTACTCTGAATGAGTATACGGTGCTTCCGCTCGGCTTGGAGCGCGCTCCATGGGTGACGAGGTGCCATCGTCGACCCGGGGGTCTCTGCTGTACTGTGAGGGGTTCAGGTCTTTGGGGTCAGGTCCCACCCCGGGGGTGGGTACCACGGGGGCCGAGGTGGTCCTGTGAAGGGCAGGGGGTCTCTTGTTGTCCCCCCCGCACTTGACGGGACCCTCCTCTCCCCTACCGTTGACGGGACCCTCCTCCCCCCTACCGTTGACGGGACCCTCCTCTCCCCTACCGTTGACGGGACCCTCCTCCCCCCTACCGTTGACGGGACCCTCCTCCCCCCTACCGTTGACGGAACTGTCCGCCTCACTCTTAGAAGCAGGGGATAGGGTGAAGATGGTGATTGCTGTGGATGTAGGGAGCGGTGGAGGTGGGGAGTGACGTATGGATGAGTGGTCTACTGGAGTGGAAGAGGAGTGAGTGAGATGGCGGTCCCCCAGTTCATCAGCGATTGGTGCGAGCAGTCGAATAGGGGGAGCTGGTCTCTGTGCTGTGGAATGGTCTGGGGGTAAAAGAGAAGAACGACTACATTCATTATCAACAGTCAAAATGGTTACTACAAGTAGCATACTGTACGTATAGTATCGTTATGTGAGTATTATGATGCATACAGTATATACATGAACATGATGTTTCACACTAAACATAACTGCCATTCAACATATGCTTTAAGGGTTCAAACCACATCCTGGAAGTCTTTCACAGCGTGATTTAAATGCAATGTTCCCGCTTTAGTGGAGACTGTATTCACGGTAAACGCTGCATATGTCGTCTCAATCTGAAATTACCTTTACATTTCTATCACGGAATCTGTAACGCTTCAGTTTTAAAAGACTGATTGATGCCTAAAGGATCAATATTCATAATGATGAATTGCGTGCATACACTGATGACCAGGATGGTTCTGACCTGAAAACAGAGCAATATGGTAATGGTGGAATGGGAATACCTAGCAGTGTAGTTTATGACTGTAATGATGATTCAGACAGTGAGACTCCATGTGCCCCAAACACAGTCAAACACTCCCAGTTAATTCTCGTGAAATCTGTGTCCCTAGCTCAACCTCGACATGCTTGCCCTAACACAGTGCAAAGTGTGTTGACGACAAAGTGTGGCCATATTCATTAGTGCATAACGTAGCAACACTTTTTGCAACGGAAATCAAAAACAAGTGTTTCCTATTGGAGAAGTTCAGGTAGTCCCTGTTCCAGTCTGCGTACACAGTGCTTACATGGCAGAGAGACTACGTGAAGGGAGTGAAGGAGGGTTATGAAGACAGTCAAGGCACAGTGAGTGGGTGAAGGGAGTGAAGGAGGGTTATGAAGACAGTTAAGGCACAGTGAGTGGGTGAAGGGAGTGAAGGAGGGTTATGAAGACAGTCAAGGCACAGTGAGTGGGTGAAGGGAGTGAAGGAGGGTTATGAAGACAGTCAAGGCACAGTGAGTGGGTGAAGGGAGTGAAGGAGGTTGAAACAGTCAAGGCACAGGAGTGGTGAAGGGAGTGAAGGAGGTAAGACGCAAGCAAGTGTGGGTCAGAGTGAGGAGTATGAACAGTCAAGGCACATGAGTGGTAAGGGAATGAAGGGTTATGAACAGTCAAAGCACAGTGATGGGGAAGAGGGTTATGAGCAGTCAAGGCACGTGAGTGGTGTAAGGAGTGAAGGAGGGTTATGAAACAGTCAGGCACATGAGTGGTAAGGGATGAGGAGTATAGACCGTCAGCACAGTGTGGTGATAAAGAGGTATGAGACAGTCAGCACAGTGAGTGGGTGAAGGAGGGTTATAAGACAGTCAAGCACACGTGCAGTGGGTGAATGGAGTGAGAGGGTTTGAAGACGTCAAGCCACGAGTGGTGAAGGCAGTGAAGAGGTTATGAAGACAGTCAGGCCAGTGAGTGGGTGATAGTGATAAGGAGGTAAATTGAAGAAGTCAAGCAACAGTGCTATGGGTGAAGGTAGGTATGACCAGGTCCAGTTGTGGTGAAGGAGTGAGAGGTTATGAAGCAGTAAGGACAGATGGTGAAGGGAGTGAAGGAGGGTTCTGAAGACAGTCAAGGCACAGTGAGTGGGTGAAGGGAGTGAAGGAGGGTTATGAAGACAGTCAAGGCACAGTGAGTGGGTGAAGGGGGGTTATGAAGACAGTCAAGGCACAGTGAAGGAGAGAAGGGGTGACGCTGAGGAGGGGTTGAGACAGTCAGGCACAGGTGTGTGAGGTAAGGGGGTTATGAGACAGTCAGGCAAGTAGTGGTGAAGGAGTGAAGCGAGGTAGAGACAGTCAAGGCACAGCGAGTGGTGAAGGAGGGTATGAAGACAGTCAAGGCAGCGTGAAGAACAGAGACAGGGAGAGGCGCTGCAACATTCAAGGGTCTGTACCTGGCTTTGGTCATCCCCTCAATTCTGCACTAGGAACAGAGAGAGCATGCAAGAGGGACGGAACAAAGAGGTTAGCACAACTGGAGGAATGAGAGAGAACAGAGCAGAGGAGAGCGCTGAAGCAACAGAGCAGAGGAGAGCGCTGAAGCAACAGTGCATTTAAGCAAGTTGATAAGGTAACTTATCAGAATACTACTCAATTATAAAGGACAAAACGATCGACTTCACATGTCTACAACAGATCGTCCACTGAAATATACTGTGTTGTGAACACAAGTTGTACTCTATCACAACTAATTACAGCCAGTAACACAAGAGAGCCCCTTTGTTAAGCGAAGGGCAGCAGCTGAAGCAGAGTTTAACGATTGAAGAGAAAAGTTGTGGAATATTCTTTGACGAGTAATAGAATAGAAATTTGTTGTGCTAAATGTATGGTGAACATCCTTCATTGCAACATCGACATAAATCTAAGACCCAAAGGAAGAAACAACCTTCCACCCCCCCCCCCCCCCCAAAAAAGGATCAACTCGTGATTTCCTCTGATGTAATGCATTGAGTGGGAGATACTAAGTCTGGTGTTCATCATGGTTTGGACCGGTGGGTGGAGGGCTCCCCCCAGGTCAAGTCATATGATGGTTTGGCTCTTTCACTGTTGGGGGGGGGGGGGGGTGTTTTATGTTCAGTGTTACCAAGGGGTTGAGTTCTAGAGCGATAAAGGGCCTTTCTGCAGTCAAACAAGGTAGTGTCCATTCCATAGAATGGTGAATTGAGCTTTTTTTATTTTATTATTGACATTTCACAACAGTTACAGGTCCTCCACTCACCAGCTGTACTTTTATCTGTTGGGAACAGAATGATTAAATATTTTTCTTATAACTTATTACTAGTTTGCTACACATTATTACAATTATGCACTGCCTTTCAGTGCCATCGAGTTGATCAATTCTAATCACGATGGGTATTTAATGGGAATTTTTGTGCTAATGAGCTAAAGGAGATTTTGATTGGTGAGGGGATCGGCGGTCTAGAACAGAGGTACTCAACTCTGACCCTACGAGGTCCGGAGCCTGCTGGTTTTCTGTTCTACCTGATAAATAATTGCACCCACCCGGTGTGCCAGGTCTAAATCAGCCCTGGTTAGAAGGCAAAAAACGGAAAGAAAAAAACCAGTGGAACCGAGGTCCAGAGTTGGTCTAGACAAAAGGGTGACTGAGTGGTGAGAGGACCGGAGCTCTAGAACACTAAAGGGAAATTTGATTGGTGGAAGAAGTGGAGGTCTAGACAAAAGGGAGATTTTGATTAGTGATGGGACCTGGGGTCTAGACTACAGTACAAACCCATAGATATTGACTCTCTGAAGGGTGGGTCCTCTGGGGGGGACAGCTCACAGCACATGGCTTACAACTAGGGGATCAGCACTGCACAATGGGCTCACTATGGCAGCTGTAAGGGACTGCTATGAGTGCTTCTAAGACACCTTTATGGGTACTACTGTGGGCACTGCAATGGCAGCTCCACCTTACCGGCAAAGAACATGGGGGATTTACTGTGCAGCTCGTCCATCATCTGAGCAAAGAGGAGGTTCATCTCGCGCTGCAGGGTGCCCACGGCATGCCTGCCGCTGTCAAGGACCCCTTGCGGGGGCAGCATAGGGGCCAGCTCGAGGCTGCCCAGGCTGTCACAGCTGCTGCAACTGTCGCTGACCGACAAGCTGTCGCAGTCGGAGCTAATGATGGTAGTATGAGGGGCCTTGACCGGGCCACAAGCTCTGCCGTAGTTGGGCAGCGGGGCGCACTGCCAGTGCAGGCTGCTCCAGCAGTCGGGGGTGAGCGTTGCATGCGGAGTGGTTGGAGGGGAGGGGAAGCGCCGGCGGGGCATGATGCAGGAGCAGGCGTTCCTCTCAGTGTGCCAGGTGTCCAGAGTTTGTCTGGCTTTGGCCCGGGACTTTGGGAAGGGGATAGGTTGGAAGAACGCCTGGGGCTGGAGCAGGGGCAGGGACTCATCAGGCTGCGCTGCGGCCAGGGCCTGTGGTTTGGGCATGGGCATGGGCTCGGGTTGAACCTGCCTAGAGGGAGTGGGGTAGCGGGCGGCTTTCTCAGGCCTCTCTGTCCACGCCTTGGGCCTCTCTCCCCATTTCTCCTCATCCTTGAACTTCCTCTCCGTCTCTGGGCTTTCCTTGGAGCTAATTACAGTTCATACAGTTGGAGGACACCCCCATCCTGCCACTGCTGTTGAGGGCCACGCGGGCGAACACTCCAGGTTTCTCATTCAGGGAGTCGTGGCAGCGCAGCCAATTGACCTGCTTTAGGGGCTCGCTCATGGAATATCGGAGGAAGCGAGGTGAGCCCTTACCTTTGCCCTCGTTGGGGTGGAAAGCCTTGTTGGTGCCGTGGTGCTTGTTGGTGCCCTGGCGTGATGCGGTGGGGGCAGCGCCAGCCGTGGTGTCCCAGTTGTGCTGGTGGAGCAGCGGGGGCTGGGAGGAAGCATTGAGGTCCCTGTCCTCTGACTCCCGGTCCTCGCTGGTGCCTTCTGAGCGGTAGTCTTTGGTGTCGATGGCGATCTCGGGGAAGCCCTTCTTGACCTTGGGCTGGACTTTGGTGGGCGCGCTGGCCGTGCGGCGCAGCAGGTGGGCGCCGAACGGTTGCTTATGGCTAAGCTGTGCAGCAGCATGGCTGTCGAGAGAAGCCTGCTTTGGGTTTCTGTGAAACAGCCCTTTGATGCCGCTGGCCACCTTGCCCTGAGAACAAGAGACGAGGCAAAAGAAAACCAACATCATGAACAGGTTCACAATAAGCATTTACCAGAACATACAGTACTGACATACAGTACTGTACATGGGAGGGGGGTGGGAGGTCACCATGTACAGAGTGGGGGTGGGAGGTCAAGATGGAGGTCACAATTTGACATTCACCGATCGAAATAACACTGGGTTACCTGCTGTAACACTCTTTGCACTGAGACATTATGACTGGCGTTCGTGTGTGTGTGTGTTCATTTAAAAATGCTTGCCTTTCAGCACGATGCGCAGCAACCCAATGTCATCAAGTAGATCGAAGTGGAATTACACCTAGACTGAAAGGTGACTAAACACACACCGACGGCAGACATTACCCAGAACACATTTGACATCGGAGTCTGGTCAGTGGCGTAACACCCCCCCCCCCCCCAAGTCTGACTGAGTGCATGTTTTACAACGTTGACAAATTGTCATTTTTTTCTTCATTCAAGTGGTATACACAGTAGGAACTGTATACCCCTGTCGTGTGCCATGCTGAGGATCTCCTGAGTATGGTGAAAATACTGTCCACTTGGCAGGCCTCTAGTCCCCTGTTTTTGTGTGTGTCTCCCTCCCTCCCTCCGGCGCAGGTTAGTGACATTGGATCTACTTTGGGTCGATGGAGGATGCTGGCGAGTCAAGCTGTCACAATCATGTTCGCAACTCATGTTCGGCATGAGTTAGCATCTACGGGTGGACGCGACTGGCTTGTGGGGGCAGGTGGGCGAAATCACTGGGGTGGCAGGGAAGGGGCATGTGGCGCATGCAGGGTGCTGATTGGATTTCACTACACCTGGGTTCTGAGTGGCGCCTTCAGGACTCCTAACAATTTTCTGCCTCTAAAAGCGGCGTTTAGACAAAGAGGGGTCAACTGAAATCACAAACAGACAGAGAGAGAGAGATCAGAGAGAGAGAGGGGGAACGGAGAGGGAGCGAGAGAACGGAGAGGGAGTGAGAGGGGGAACGGAGGGGGAAGGAAGCAAGGGAGAGTACAGCAAATAGATTCACATACAGTCACAGCTGACAAAGAGGAGATCTGGAAACAGGACGAGATATGAACGGTGTGGTCATTTACAGTATGTGTTGATGACAAAGACAATAGAATGCAGTATAGAACTAAAAGAATAATGACCATTTCAGTAGTAGCTAGGCATAGAGGTTTCAGTAGTAGCTAGGCATAGAGGTTTCAGTAGTAGCTAGGCATAGAGGTTTCAGTAGTAGCTAGGCATAGAGGTTTCAGTAGTAGCTAGGCATAGAGGTTTCAGTAGTAGCTAGGCATAGAGGTTTCAGTAGTAGCTAGGCATAGAGGTTTCAGTAGTAGCTAGGCATAGATGTTTCAGTAGTAGCTAGGCATAGAGGTTTCAGTAGTAGCTAGGCATAGACGTTTCAGTAGTAGCTAGGCATAGATGTTTCAGTATTAGCTAGGCATAGAGGTTTCAGTAGTAGCTAGGCATAGAGGTTTCAGTAGTAGCTAGGCATAGATGTTTCAGTATTAGCTAGGCATAGAGGTTTCAGTAGTAGCTAGGCATAGAGGTTTCAGTAGTAGCTAGGCATAGAGGTTTCAGTAGTAGCTAGGCATAGATGGTTTCAGTAGTAGCTAGGCATAGAGGTTTCAGTAGTAGCTAGGCATAGAGGTTTCAGTAGTAGCTAGGCATAGAGGTTTCAGTAGTAGCTAGGCATAGAGGTTTCAGTAGTAGCTAGGCATAGAGGTTTCAGTAGTAGCTAGGCATAGAGGTTTCAGTAGTAGCTAGGCATAGACGGTTTCAGTAGTAGCTAGGCATAGATGTTTTCAGTAGTAGCTAGGCATAGAGGTTTCAGTAGTAGCTAGGCATAGATGTTTCAGTTCTCTAGTAGATAGTCAAACTATGGAAAGATGGTTTCAGTTCTCTAGTAGATAGTCAAACTATGGAAAGATGGTTTCAGTTCTCTAGTAGTCAATTGTTTCATTTGATCCAACGTGCATTGATTGACTCCCGATAAGAACACTTTGGATAAGTGCAAACTGTAATATAATATGCCTACAGTTTTCCAATACCAATTCAATGAACTCCATTATTTCTAACGGCTTTTCTGGTTTAATGCAACATGTTACGACAGTCCAACAGCGTTAGATTTATCCAAAGTCGACTGTACCTCAACTGAGAGTGCCTTGAGTCAGTAATCTAAAAATCCTATATCATAAATACAAGTGCATATCACTGCCTGGCTACAGGGAAAGTATCATCTGGCTCAAAGAAAATATAAATCACTATTGAGGCGACTGTACTCTATGTCTGTCCACATTTAAAACGTGCTAATTGTCAGAACGGTGGCTGCTGCCACTCAACTGTAACGCACAGATGACACAGCTGGGATGTCAGGGACGTGGTTGGCTGCCGCTAAGGACTTCATTACTTAATTAGCCATCTCTGATTAATTCTTCTCGATTGAGCTGCGACCGGGGCAATTAGCGAGAGCTCCTAATTGAATAGATTTTTCAATTATTATATTTATTTCCAGCTTTGGCACTCACGATCCTTCATCTGTATAATAATGGACACTTTTTTTCCCTTTCAATAACCACCATCTGTTGATGAATAGGGGGAAAACTCACTTCAATTCTAACTGAAATATTGTGTTGAAAAGTATTTGGAGCAGAACTTATTCTTTATTTAGTCCAATGTAAAATTATTGAGAGACGCACAATTCAAGTTTTCCAATTAAAAAGGACAAACCCTTGTATACAAAACAAAAGGCATTGTGTGTGTAATACCCTCGCCACCTCCCTTACTACCTACCTTACCAGTGACGTCATGTACAGACACATGAACAAAGATGGATGCCGCCTCCATACCTTCCAAGTACACGTGGCGATAACCTAAAGAAAACACAGGACACACACGTCAAGACAATGAGCCCGGCGACAAGGAAACAGAGCAATGTTCCATATCTCAGGACGCTCTGTTAGAAGATCAATGAAACACTACTAAAATCAGAGAAAGCCTCAAAAGTCTTCAAATAGCACAACAATCATTAGGGATAAACTGCTCCCAGTACAAACCATAAAACTACTAACAACTATATCAACTACAGTATATAGTATAAACTAAAACACATATACTGAACTGTTCCCAGTACAAACCATAACACTAGTACACAAACTGCTAACAACTATATACACAATAACACAACTAACACACACAGCCTATACCAGGGTTACCCTACTGACGGCCCACGGGTAGAATTTGGCGTGATTTTGTTTGTCCCCAAGTTTTTTTTGGGGGGGGGGACATAAGACTGTAAAAACACCAGCAAATCAGCTCCAAGTGATTTAACTTTGGGAAACCTGTTCTAAAGTATTCCCACGCATAATAGAGAGATACACTGTATGTAAGCAAGGTTTGAAATGATTATGTTCTAGTGAAATATTTTATCTGTTTTAGCGTCTTGCTGTCAATTTGCAGTCTACAAATTATTTGTAATTATGTTCCGGCCCCCTGACCAGCCGCTCAAGAAACAAATCGGGCCGCGGCTGAATCTAGTAGATGATCCCTGCCCTATACTAACACAATAGTCCAGGTGAGTGTCTGACGGCCAGCCCTTTACCACATCACAGTAGTGGTTGGGGGTTTGCTGGAGCGAAGGAGGAGGAGGATGTAGGTACCTGGTATCATGCTGTTGAAGGCGATGGTGCGCTGGCCAATGAAGTCCTGGCCGATGGGGTCGTGGTCCCACACCAGGAAACGGACCAGCGCCAGCTGGGGCATGTGCAGCATGAACACCAGGGTCTCCTCCCACATGGGGTTAAAGCCTTGAGAGGAGAGAGGGGGGACGGGACAGGACAGCAAGGAAGAGAGAGAGAGGAAGAGGACAGAAAAAGGGTGGAGAGGGACGGGTGGAGAAAGAGAAGACGTGGGCCAGATTTAAAGTGTGAGAGGAAATAGAGAAATAGACAAAGGGAGAGAGAGAGGGCGAGTGAGAGAGAGATTGAGATGGGCAGTGAGTTGGAGATGTATGGACAGAGAGAAAGAGTAGGAGAGAGGGAGGGAGAGTAGGAGAGAGGGAGGGAGAGAGAGTGAGGAGAGAGAGGAGGAGAGGAGAGAGTGCAAGAAAGAAAAGGTGGGGAGAGAGGGGAGAGGAGAGAGGGAGAGGGGAGGGAGAGAAGTGGGAACGGAGAGAGTAGGAGGAGGGGGGAAAGAGTAGGAGAGGGGGGAGAGGAGGGGGAGAGTGAGAGGGGGAAGAGGGGGAGAGAGAGAGGGGGGAAGAAGGAAAGGGGAGAGAGAGAAGGGAGAGAGGAGGAGAGGCGGGAGAGGAGGGAGAGAAAGTGGGAGCAAGAGTAGGAGAGAGGGGGGAGTAGGAGAGAGGGGGGAGGACGTAGGAGAGAGGGGGAGGGGTAGAGAGGGGGAGAGGAAGGAGAGAGGAGGAGAGAGGGGGAGAGAGAGAGGAGAAGGAAAGGGGGGGGTAGGGAGAGTAGCGAGAGTAGGCGAGGATGGGAAGTCGGAGAGAGAGTAGGAGAGAGGGGGAGAGTAGGAGAGAGGGGAGGAGTAGGAGAGAGGGGGAGATAGCGAGAGAGGGGGAGAGTAGGAGAGCGGGGGCGGAGTTGGAGAGAGGGGGGAGAGGGGGAGAGTAGGGAGAGAGCGAGAGAGTAGGAGGAGAGGGGCGAGAGAGTGAGAGAGGAGGAGGAGGAGGAGGGAGAGAGCGAGAGGGTGCAAGAAAGAAAGAGGTAGGAGAGAGGGAGAAGCGTAGGCGAGAGGCGAGGGGCGAAAGTAGGAGGAGGAGGGGGAGAGTAGGGTAGGATAGAGGGGAGAGTAGGAAGATGAGGGGGAGAGTAGGAGACGAGGGGGAGAGGGAGAGCGAGAGAGAGGCCGGAGCTGAGTGAAGGAGAGGAGGAGAGAGGGAGGAGAAGGTAGGGAGGGAGGGCGAGAGAGTGGAGCGAGGGCGCGGTTAGGAGAAGAGCGCGAGAATATAGTAGAAGAGAGGGGAGGGAGAGAAAGAGCGCGAGAGATATAGAGAGAGACGAGTTAGAGAGCTGGCTCAGCATAACTTATTCAGGTACTGTGTGTCTGGAGACCAAGTGGTGCTGGCAGTGCACTGCTCCGGTGCTAACCTCAATTATACATGACACACACAAACTCGTCTAAACACCCGACTTAACCCAACCTATAGGACATAGTAGCCGGTGCAATATACATTTAGCCAACTTATTATTCAAGCATACCCACCATTGTCGTCCACCACCCTGGTCTGTTCCTTACAGCAGTCCACTGGTATACCAATGATCTCCACCTCCACAAAGGGGTCGATAATCTGACAAGGCAGATGGACAGAGAAGTTAGAGGCTTCACCAAACCAAGTAGTAGCAGTAGTACTAATAGGGACCACAGGCGGCTGGTGGCACCTTAATTGGGGAGGACGGGCTCATAGTAATGCTGGAACGGAATGGTATCGTACACGTCAAATATGTTTTCCATGTGGTTGATACTGCGGCTTGTGAAAGTATTCATCCCCCCATGGCATTTTTCCTATTTTGTTGCCTTACAACCTGGAATTAAAATGATTTTTTGGGGGTTTGTATCATTTGATTTACACAACATGCCTACCACTTTGAAGATGCAAAATATTTTTGGGGGTGAAACAAACAAGAAATAAGACAAAAAAACAGAATACTTGAGCGTGCATAACTATTCAACCCCCCCCAAAGTCGATACTTTGTAGAGCCACCTTTTGCAGCAATTACAGCTGCAAGTCTCTTGGGGTGTCTCTATAAGCTTGGCACATCTAGCCACTGGGATTTTTTCCCATTCTTCAAGGCAAAACTGCTCCAGCTCCTTCAAATCAAATCAAATTGTATTGGTCACATGCGCCGAATACAACAGGTGCAGACATTACAGTGAAATGCTTACTTACAGCCCTTAACCAACAGTGCATTTATTTTTAACAAAAAAAGTAAAAATAAAACAACAACAAAAAAGTGTTGAGAAAAAAAAGAGCAGAAGTAAAATAAAATAACAGTAGGGAGGCTATATATACAGGGGGGTACCGGTGCAGAGTCAATGTGCGGGGGCACCGGCTAGTTGAGGTAGTTGAAGTAATATGTACATGTGGGTAGAGTTAATGTGACTATGCATAAATAATTAACAGAGTAGCAGCAGCGTAAAAAGGATGGGGTGGGGGGGCAGTGCAAATAGTCTGGGTAGCCATGATTAGCTGTTCAGGAGTCTTATGGCTTGGGGGTAGAAGCTGTTGAGAAGTCTTTTGGACCTAGACTTGGCACTCCGGTACCGCTTGCCGTGCGGTAGCAGAGAGAACAGTCTATGACTAGGGTGGCTGGAGTCTTTGACAATTTTGAGGGCCTTCCTCTGATACCGCCTGGTATAGAGGTCCTGGATGGCAGGAAGCTTGGACCCAGTGATGTACTGGGCCGTACGCACTACCCTCTGTAGTGCCTTGCGGTCGGAGGCCAAGCAGTTGCCATACCAGGCGGTGATGCAACCAGTCAGGATGCTCTCGATGGTGCAGCTGTAGAATTTTTTGAGGATCTGAGGACCCATGCCAAATCTTTTCAGTCTCCTGAGGGGGAATAGGCTTTGTCGTGCCCTCTTCATGACTGTCTTGGTGTGTTTGGACCATGATAGTTCGTTGGTGATGTGGACACCAAGGAACTTGAAGCTCTCAACCTGTTCCACTACAGCCCCGTCGATGAGAATGGGGGCGTGCTCAGTCCTCTTTTTTTTTTCTGTAGTCCACAATCATCTCCTTTGTCTTGGTCACGTTAAGGGAGAGGTTGTTGTTCAAGTTGGATGGGTTCCGCTGGTGTACAGCAATCTTTAAGTCCTACCACAAATTCTCAATTGGATTGAGATCTGGGCTTTGACTAGGCCATTCCAAGACATTTAAATGTTTCCCCTTAAACCACTCGAGTGTTGCTTTAGCAGTATGCTAAGGGTCACTGTCCTGCTGGAAGGTGAACCTCCGTCCCAGTCTCAAATCTCTGGAAGACAAACAGGTTTCCCTCAAGAATTTCCCTGTATTTAGCGCCATCCATCATTCCTTCAATTCTGACCAGTTTCCCAGTCCCTGCTGATGAAAAACATCCCCACAGCATGATGCTGCTACCACCATGCTTCACTGTGGGGATGGTGTTCTCGGGGTGATGAGGTGTTGGGTTTGCACCAGACATAGCGTTTTCCTTGATGGCCAAAAAGCTCAATTTTAGTCTCATCTGACCAGAGTACCTTCTTCCATATGTTTGGGGAGTCTCCCACATGCCTTTTGGTGAACACCAAACATGTTTGCTCATTTTTTTCTTTAAGCAATGGCTTTTTTCTGGCCACTCTTCCGTAAAGCCCAGCTCTGTGTCGTGTGCGTATTAAAGTGGTCCTATGGACAGATACTCCAATCTCCGCTGTGGAGCTTTGCAGCTCCTTCAGGGTTATCTTTGGTCTCTTTGTTGCCTCTCTGATTAATGCCCTCCTTGCCTGGTCCGTGAGTTTTGGACCTCTCTTGGCAGGTTTGTTGTGGTGCCATATTCTTTCCAATTTTTTATAATGGATTTAATGGTGCTCTGTGGGATGTTCAAAGTTTCAGATATATTTTTATAACCCAACCCTGATCTGTACTTCTCCACAACTCTGTCCCTGATCTGTTTGGAGAGCTCCTTGGTCTTCATGGTGCCGCTTGCTTGGTGGTGCCCCTTGCTTAGTGGTGTTACAGACTCTGGGGCCTTTCAGAACAGGTGTATATATACTGAGATCATGTGACACTTAAATAAAGTCCATCTGTGTGCAATCTAAGTAATTACGTGACTTCCGAAGGTAATTGTTTGCACCAGATCTTATTTAGGGGCTTCATAGCAAAGGGGTTGAATACATATGCATGCACCACTTTTCCGTTATTTCTTTTTTAGAATTTTTTGAAAAAAGTTATTTTTTCATTTCACTTCACCAATTTGGACTATTTTGTGTATTTCCATTACATGAAATCCAAATAAAAATCAATTTAAATTACAGGTTGTAATGCAACAAAATAGGAAAAACGCCAAGGGGGATGAATACTTTTGCAAGGCACTGTACCATTCCATTCCAGCCATTATTATGTGCTGTCCTCCCCTCAGCAGCCTCCTGTGATAGGGACATTCTGTGTGAATCTGACCTACAAATGATTGATGTTTTGGATATTCCTCAAAATAAATACATAAAAAGCTCCTTTGGAAAAAGAATGTTTGGCATACATATGAAATCTGCATTTTTTAAAATGAACAAAAATAAATAATTACCTCTCCTCTGTCCCCCAGCATGGAGTCTTTGGGCTTTGGCAGCTGCTGCCCACTGATGATCTTCAGCACCAGTTGTTTCTTCATCTGCCCTGGAAATGGGTCCTCTATCATGGGGTTAAAGGCACCTACATGAGGCAGGGAGGGACAAAAAGACTTACTCTTTCCCATGGTAGATACCTGGGTCATATTCAATATGAACAAAACTGAAGAAAACAAAACTGAAACAGGAAGGGACTACCTGAACTTGTCAAATAAGAAACGCTCATTTTCGTTTTCTGTTGTAAATTTTTTTGCTACGGTGTGCACTTGTGAATACGACCCTTTGCTATGAAATCAATGTGAGGATGCTGCTGCCCACCTTCACACATACTGGCCGGCTTCAAGATGTAGCCACAGTTGCCATTGCTACTGAACTTGGCTCTGTTCAGCTGGAGCACTCTCCCCTCCGACTGGTAGTTCAACGCCACTGAAAACCACACAAATCAAAACATTTCAAATAAGTGAAAAAAAACATTTGAATTACACTTTTAATAAGAAAATGTTTGGGCAAATGGAACCAAATTATGTCTTAGGGAGCCATTGGAGAATTCACTGGATAGCGTGGGGCTCAACATGATCAAACATGTTAAAAGTTTAAATCTGGAAATGTACCCCGTACCCAGGTGGCATCCAGCGTTCCAGAAGGGCTGGGGGTTGAAGTTGGAAGAGTCCACGCGGTAGGAGGAGGGGTAGATGCGCGAGAGCTGCCGCTGGTTGAAGTGGATGAAGGTGGCGGCTTTCTGCTGCATGATCTGGTGGGCCTTGGTCTCACTCAGAGAAGACACCAGCCAACTGGAGCTGGCTGCTGGAAGACACACACACACGAGACACAAACAAGGCACACACACACAACACACAAACAAGGCACACACACACACACGAGACACAAACAAGGCACACACACACACACACACACACACACACACGAGACACACACACACACACGAGACACAAACAAGGCACACACACAACACACAAACAAGGCACACACACACACACGAGACACAAACAAGGCACACACACACACACAACACACAAACAAGGCACACACACACACACGAGACACAAACAAGGCACACACACACACACGAGACACAAACAAGGCACACACACACACACACAACACACAAACAAGGCACACACACACACACGAGACACAAACAAGGCACACACACACACACGAGACACAAACAAGGCACACACACACACGAGACACAAACAAGACACACACACACACGCGAGACACACACGTAGGGAGATTGGGCCAGTGTCAGTATAGTGAAGCAATCTCATGTAGGGAGATGGGGCCAGTGTCAGTATAGTGAAGCAGGTTCAGGTAGGGAGATGGGGCCAGTGTCAGTATAGTGAAGCAGGTTCAGGTAGGGAGATGGGGCCAGTGTCAGTATAGTGAAGCAGGTTCAGGTAGGGAGATGGGGCCAGTGTCAGTATAGTGAAGCAGGTTCAGGTAGGGAGATGGGGCCAGTGTCAGTATAGTGAAGCAATCTCATGTAGGGAGATGGGGCCAGTGTCAGTATAGTGAAGCAGGTTCAGGTAGGGAGATGGGGCCAGTGTCAGTATAGTGAAGCAGGTTCAGGTAGGGAGATGGGGCCAGTGTCAGTATAGTGAAGCAGTCTCATGTAGGGAGATGGGGCCAGTGTCAGTATAGTGAAGCAGGTTCAGGTAGGGAGATGGGGCCAGTGTCAGTATAGTGAAGCAGGTTCAGGTAGGGAGATGGGGCCAGTGTCAGTATAGTGAAGCAGGTTCAGGTAGGGAGATGGGGCCAGTGTCAGTATAGTGAAGCAGTCTCATGCAGGGAGATGGGGCCAGTGTCAGTATAGTGAAGCAGGTTCAGGTAGGGAGATGGGGCCAGTGTCAGTATAGTGAAGCAGGTTCAGGTAGGGAGATGGGGCCAGTGTCAGTATAGTGAAGCAGTCTCGGTAGGGAGATGGGGCCAGTGTCAGTATAGTGAAGCAGGTTCAGGTAGGGAGAGGGCCCAGTGTAAGTATAGTGAAGCAGGTTCAGGTAGGGAGATGGGGCCAGTGTCAGTATAGTGAAGCATCTCATGTAGGGAGATGGGGCCAGTGTCAGTATAGTGAAGCAGGTTCAGGTAGGGAGATGGGGCCAGTGTCAGTATAGTGAAGCAGGTTCAGGTAGGGAGATGGGGCCAGTGTCAGTATAGTGAAGCAGGTTCAGGTAGGGGAGATGGGGCCAGTGTCAGTATAGTGAAGCAGGTTCAGGTAGGGAGATGGGGCCCAGTGTCAGTATAGTGAAGCAGTCTCATGTAGAGAGATGGGGACAGTGTCAGTATAGTGAAGCAGTCTCATGTAGAGAGATGGGGCCAGTGTCAGTATAGTGAAGCAGTCTCATGTAGAGAGATGGGGCCAGTGTCAGTATAGTGAAGCAGTCTCATGTAGAGAGATGGGGACAGTGTCAGTATAGTGAAGCAGTCTCAGGTAGGGAGACGGGGCCAGTGTCAGTATAGTGAAGCAGTCTCATGTAGGGAGATGGGGCCAGTGTCAGTATAGTGAAGCAGTCTCATGTAGGGAGATGGGGCCAGTGTCAGTATAGTGAAGCAGGTTCAGGTAGGGAGATGGGGCCAGTGTCAGTATAGTGAAGCAGTCTCAGGTAGGGAGATGGGGCCAGTGTCAGTATAGTGAAGCAATCTCAGGTAGGGAGATGGGGCCAGTGTCAGTATAGTGAAGCAATCTCAGGTAGGGAGATGGGGCCAGTGTCAGTATAGTGAAGCAGGTTCAGGTAGGGAGATGGGGCCAGTGTCAGTATAGTGAAGCAGGTTCAGGTAGGGAGATGGGGCCAGTGTCAGTATAGTGAAGCAGGTTCAGGTAGGGAGATGGGGCCAGTGTCAGTATAGTGAAGCAGTCTCATGCAGGGAGATGGGGCCAGTGTCAGTATAGTGAAGCAGGTTCAGGTAGGGAGATGGGGCCAGTGTCAGTATAGTGAAGCAGGTTCAGGTAGGGAGATGGGGCCAGTGTCAGTATAGTGAAGCAGGTTCAGGTAGGGAGATGGGGCCAGTGTCAGTATAGTGAAGCAGGTTCAGGTAGGGAGATGGGGCCAGTGTCAGTATAGTGAAGCAGGTTCAGGTAGGGAGATGGGGCCAGTGTCAGTATAGTGAAGCAGGTTCAGGTAGGGAGATGGGGCCAGTGTCAGTATAGTGAAGCAGGTTCAGGTAGGGAGATGGGGCCAGTGTCAGTATAGTGAAGCAGTCTCATGTAGAGAGATGGGGACAGTGTCAGTATAGTGAAGCAGTCTCATGTAGAAAGATGGGGCCAGTGTCAGTATAGTGAAGCAGTCTCATGTAGAGAGATGGGGCCAGTGTCAGTATAGTGAAGCAGTCTCAGGTAGGGAGACAGGGCCAGTGTCAGTATAGTGAAGCAGGTTCAGGTAGGGAGACGGGGCCAGTGTCAGTATAGTGAAGCAGGTTCAGGTAGGGAGACGGGGCCAGTGTCAGTATAGTGAAGCAGGTTCAGGTAGGGAGATGGGGCCAGTGTCAGTATAGTGAAGCAGGTTCAGGTAGGGAGACGAGGCCAGTGTCAGTATATTGAAGCAGGTTCAGGTAGGGAGATTTTTGTTCCCCCTGCTCACCTTGTTTCTCTATGTCGGAGACACCCACTGACTTTGTGTATTTGACCAGGTCTGACAGAGCCCTGGTCAGCTTCATGGTCTTCTTCCTGCTTGAGAACAACCAGTTAGCCAGTGGGACAGTTCTATGGTACATCTAGGGTTACAGTACCGTTGTAGAGAGCGTCTCAATGGTAACAGTACAAGTGTTTTCCATTAGTACTGTAACTGGTGCAGGTGTAACATGTCTCCATGGTAACAGACCATGTCTCAATGGTAACAGACCATGTCTCCATGGTAACAGTACCTGCTGTGGTGCAGGGGGGCGCGGGAGGCACTGCTGGTGCTCTCCTGGTCCGTGTCGGTGTCTTCAAGGCTGTTGGTCTTCTTCAGCTTGACAGCCTTTTTCTGGAGGGAGAAGGTCAAATACAGTCACAACGGCACTAAAGACTCAGGGAAGAGCTGCGTCTGGTATTGCATCCTATCCCTATACAGTATATTGCATCCTATCCCTATACAGTATATTGCATCCTATCCCTATACAGTATATTGCATCCTATCCCTATACAGTATATTGCATCCTATCCCTATACAGTATATTGCATCCTATCCCTATACAGTATATTGCATCCTATCCCTATACAGTATATTGCATCCTATCCCTATACAGTATATTGCATCCTATCCCTATACAGTATATGGGATAGAGAACGAGAGGCACTGGGAAGGGAGAGTGAGAGAGATGCACTGGGGAGGGAGAGAGATCATCCATTGTTTCCAATCAATAGAAACAGGATGAACCTGAGATCAATTTCAAGTCTCATAGCAAAGGGTCTGAATACTTATGTAAATAAGGTATTTCTGTTTTTAATTTTTAATACATTTGCAAAAATGCTTTGTCATTATGGGGTATTGTGTATAGATTGATGAGGATATTTTTTTATTTCATTAATTTTTAAATAAGTCTATCGTAACAAAATGTGGAAAAAGTCAGTGGGTCTGAATACTTTCCGAATGCACTGTATATCAACGAATTGGCAAGGGCAGTAAATCTTAGTAAGACAAAAATAATGGTGTTCCAAAAAAGGTCCAGTTGCCAGGACCGCAAACACAAAATCCTTCTAGACGCCGTTGCCTTAGAGCACACAAAAAAACTATACCTACCTCAGCCTAAACATCAGCACAACAGGTAACTTCCACAAAGCTGTGAACGATTTGAGAGACAAGGCAAGAAGGGCCATCAACCCCATCAAAAGGAACATAAAATTCGACATCCCAATTAGGATCTGGCTAAAAATACTTCAATCAGTTATAGAACCCATTGTCCTTTATGGTTGTGAGGTCTAAGGTCTGCTCACAAACCAAGAATTCACAAAATGGGATAAACACCAAATTGAGACAGCATGCAGAATTCTGCAAAAACATCCTTTGTGTACAACGTAAAACACCAAATGATGCATGCAGAGCAGAATTAGGATGATACCCGCTAATTATCAAAATCCAGAAAATAACCGTGAAATAATTTACTATAACCACCTAAAAGGAAGCGATTCCCAAACAAAGCCATCACCTACAGAGAGATTAACCTGGAGAAGAGTCCCCTAAGAAAGCTGGTCCTGGGGCTCTGTTCACAAACACAAACAGGCCCCACAGAGCCCTAGGACAGCAACACAATTAGACCCTACCAAATCATGAGAAAACAAATAGAGAATTCTTTCCAATGTGTCAAGTAATTAAGAAAAAAACAGAGCAAACTAGAATGCAATTTGGCCCTAAACAGAGAGTACACTGCACGTGGCCATAATATGACATTTGAAAATGTATCTATTCCTGTGAAATGTGTGAGTGTAATGTTTACTGTTCATTTCTGATTGTTTATTTCACTTTTGTTTATCTATTTCACTTGCTTTGGCAATGTAAACATATGTTTCCCATGCCAATAAAGCCCTTTGAATTGAATTGATTTGAGATAGATGAACTGGGAAGGTGGACAGGAGAGGAGAGAGAGAGATGAACTGGGAAGGTGGACAGGAGAGGAGGAGAGAGAGATGAACTGGGAAGGTGGAGAGGAGAGGAGAGAGAGATAAACTGGGAAGGTGGACAGGAGAGGAGGAGAGAGAGATGAACTGGGAAGGTGGAGAGGAGAGGAGGAGAGAGAGATAAATTGGGAAGGTGGACAGGAGAGGAGGAGAGAGAGATGAACTGGGAAGGTGGACAAGAGAGGAGGAGAGAGAGATGAACTGGGAAGGTGGACAGGAGAGGAGGAGAGAGAGATGAACTGGGAAGGTGGACAAGAGAGGAGGAGAGAGAGATGAACTGGGAAGGTGGAGAGGAGAGGAGGAGAGAGAGATGAACTGGGAAGGTGGAGAGGAGAGGAGGAGAGAGAGAGATGAAATGGAAGGTGGACAAGAGAGGAGGAGAGAGAGATGAACTGGGAAGGTGGAGAGGAGAGGAGGAGAGAGAGATGAACTGGGAAGGTGGACAAGAGAGGAGGAGAGAGAGATGAACTGGGAAGGTGGAGAGGAGGAGAGAGAGATGAACTGGGAAGGTGGAGAGGAGAGTGGAGGAGAGAGAGATGAACTGTGAAGGTGGACAGGAGAGGGGAGGAGAGAGAGATGCATTGGAAAGGAGGGGGGGGGGGGAGGGGGCGGTGAAGCCCACCTTGCGTTTGGAGAAGCTGCCCATGAAGGTCCTGCCCAGACGCTTGTTAGTGCTGGGGTTGGCTTCGTCCCCCTGGAAGAGAGAGCGTACAAACACTTAATATAAACAGACTTTACATACACAAAATACCACTTAAATTACTTAGAGTGGTAGAATAGGCCTGGCAGAATATAGGTCACTTCATTAAGCCATCTTCCAGCACATTGGCAGAGGGCGTGCGTGTGGCAGACTATATTTGCAGTAGACGTGCATGTGGCAGACTACATTTGCAGTGGGCGTGCGTGTTGCAGTGAGCGTACATATGGCAGACTACATTTGCAGTGGGCGTGCATGTGGTAGACTACATTTGCAGTTGGTATGCGTTAATAGACTACATTTGCAGTTGGTATGCGTTAATAGACTACATTTACAGTGGGTGTGCGTGTGGCAGACTACATTTCTTCAGTAGCTACAACAGACCTGGGTGCTGAAATATTGTTTGAAATAATTTCAAATACTGTTTATGTGCTTGATTGAGCTTGCCTGTTGCAATGGAACCAATTGAAAAGTCTGAATAGTGCAAAGAACCACAAGAAAGATTTCAAGTAGTATTTGCACCCAGGTCTGGTCTAAAGGGCCGGGGGTGTTACCTTGGATGGTGACTTGTCGGTGGTCTTTCCCGAGGGGGGCTGGGCAGCGATGGTGAAGCTGTCAGGGTCCTCCTGGTCACGGATCTTAGACTCCTTCATCAGGTTGTCCAGCTTCTTCTTAGCCACGTTCTCCACCTGCTTCCTGGTCATGGACGTCTGGAGGGAGGGAGTGTGGGAGCAAGAATAAACAGTGTGAAGAAAAAAGGGCTGGTATTGATACTGAAACCTTAGCAAAAAACATAGCTAGCTAATTGCATTTTCTGATTGACAAAAGGAATGATTGGTCATGCAAAATGTCAGCAATGAATAGAGAAAATAAAATAAACTAGATACACAATAACGTTGATAGAAAACTATTGCAGTTGACGGAAGACAACCCTAATATTCGTAAATAGTGCACTACAGGAAATAAGGTTCCATTTGAAACCAGTACATATTTCATCAGTTGAAATAACTTCTTTATGACAATATGCCTGGTAACTTCCAGACCCTTAAAACTGGCTGATATAAGACAGACATGATGGGGAGGCAGGTAGCCTAGCGGTTAAGAGCGGCGGGCCAGAAAACCGAAAGGTTTGAATCCCCGAGCCGACTAGGTGAACGATCTGTCGATGTGCCCTTGAGCAAGGCACTTAACCCTATTTTGCTCCTGTAAGTCGCTCTGGATAAAGAGCGTCTGCTAAATGACTAAAATGTAAAATGACGCATAATGGATTCACTGCATTTTCTGTGCAATCCTGGAGAATTGGATTATTCATTAATATGTACTATATAATGTGTTTCATATGTATTATGTAAAGGGTGAAATGAGAGCATGAGTATGAAAGTTGAACCTGAGGCCTAATAAAAGGTCATTTCAAAATGGGTTTAAAGCATTTGCATGCTTCTACCACTAGGTGGCGAAGTTCACCACAAACCAACGCCCGGTCCTCTCCACATGCACATAAACAACGTCTTGAGATGTGCTGTAAGTTACCAGCAAGTTTCAACCTCTTTTTTATCAAGAGAGATGTACATAGCAAGCTCTATGTTCCAGTAGTCTTAATAGTTTCTATCAGAGCCATACATGTAGATATATGGCTCCGGTCTCCATTCCACATCTCCTTTCCTTCATGTCCACTAACCTGAAAGGGCTTGATGACAACCATCTTGTCATATGATTGGGTAAGGAAAGGGGACGAGGACAAGTCACCGTGGAGATGTATTGGGACGTAGCCTTAAAACCATGCCATCCATGATCACGGTGAAGTTTCTCACTTTGAGTAAGGTTTCATAAAATCCCATAGGCACCATGTCCCTTTTAGGAATTATATTTCAGTGATTTCATAGATATCTCGGCACTGGCTTTGGACAGCATAGTCACAGGTGTAGTGTGTGCGTATGTTAAATGGGAAACGATTGGGGTGATGATTAAAGAAGCCTGATAATTACGACGTTTTACAGTACCTTCCACTTCAGAATGAGCGGACGACATCTTGAGAGCGAGAGAGAGAGAGAGAGAGCGAGCGAGCAACAGAGCTTTATGACAGCGAAGACGAGACATGAGCTGGGAGCACCAACGAACGGACAGTGGCTGATGCTTAATTGAGACTACATTCATCAAGAACAAACAGGAACAGAAAGCTTATCCCTGACAAACACACACACTTTTAACAGCACACATAATGAGATAATATAACAGCGACAAACAGACAAAGATAGTTTCTAGACTCCAATTAGCATCAAACAACATCCAGCACAATACACAGGATAAAATATATAGATATAGAATAGATAGAAAGTACAATATAGAATAGAACGGCCGCAGGGATGAGGATGGGTAAATGGAGGGAGGAAGAGGGGTGGGGTCCTTACATCTCCATTTATCAGTTTGCAGTCGTCCTCCATCTCGTCAGCACTGTCTTCATCCGTCACATCACCCTCTTCGTTGTCTTCGTCAATGTTCGACGGGAGCTTCTTGCCCTGGCAGACAAATGTGCCGTTAATATCTGGGTCATATTCATTAGGCACCAAACGAAAGAAAACGTTCTGAAAGAGGGAGGGCCTATCTGAACATGACCAATAGAAATCGCACGGTTTCATATTCCATTGCAGAGAGTTTTCCCAATAGCACCATTTTATGAGCTTCTGGGAAGGAATCCCCCTTGGGCACAGATCTAGGACCAGTTAACGCTCCAGTACGTACTGGACCGGTGGGTCTGACTTAGAATATGTGGACAACTACAAATACCTAGGTGTCTGGTTAGACCATAAACTCTCCTTCCAGACTCACATTAAGCATCTCCAATCCAAAGTTAAATCTAGAATCAGCTTCCTATTTCGCAACAAAGCCTCCTTCACTCATGCTGCCAAACATGCCCTCGTAAAAAACTGACTATCCTACCAATCCTTGACTTCGGCGATGTCATTTACAAAATAGCCTCCAACACTCTACTCAGCAAATTGTATGTAGTCTATCACAGTGCCATCCGTTTTGTCTCCAAAGCCCCATACACTACCCAACACTGTGACCTGTACGCTCTTGTTGGCTGGCCCTCACTACATATTCGTCGCCAAACCCACTGGCTCCAGGTCATCTATAAATCACTGCTAGGCAAATCCCCGCCTTATCTTAGCTCATTGGTCACCATAGCAACACCCACCCGTAGTCTGCGCTCCAGCAGGTATATATCACTGGTCATCCCCAAAGCCAACACCTCCTTTGGCCGCCATTCCTTCCAGTTCTCTGCTGCCAATGACTGGAACGAACTGCAAACATCTCTGAAGCTGGAGACTCCTATCTCCCTCACTAACTTTAAGCATCAGTTGTCAGAGCACCTTACCGATCACTGCACCTGTACACAGCCCATCTGAAATTAGCCCACCCAACTACCTCATCCCAATATTGTTATTTATTTTGCTCATGTGCACCCCAGTATCTCTATTTGCACATCATCTTCTGCACATCTATCATTCCAGTGTTAATACTAAATTGTAATTATTTTGCACTATGGCCGATTTATTGCCTTACCTCCATAACTTACTACATTTGCACACACTGTATATAGATTTTCTATTGTGTTATTGACTGTACGTTTTGTTTACCCCATATGTAACTCTGTGTTGTTGTTTTTATCGCACTGCTTTGCTTCATCTTGGCCAGGTCGCAGTTGTAAATGAGAACTTGTTCTCAACTGGCTTACCTGGTTAAATAAAAGGTGAAATAAAATAAAAATAAAAAACCTTTAGGGGGTGGGGACACAAAACTGACCTTAAAAATCAGTGTCTTGGGGAAACTTTACCAGTACTGCATTCTATGCCCTCTGTGTGTGCCAGGGACAATTCCATTTCAAGTATACTGAAATTCCAATTCCAATTCTCTTTAATGCTTTTCAATGAGGAAAATGTAGAATTGGGTTTACTTTCTGAATTGGTTGTTAATGCATAGAGGTGGTCCCCAATCTAAACCATTAAGCTTTCCCCCCCAGAGTGCATAAGGTGTAACCGCTGTAACAGATACAGCAGCCACTAGGGATTGATCCCAGACCAGTATATCTGGGGTAGTGTTCAGAAAGGTCATGTTCAAAATGTTGTAGATAGAAATATCATACATAAAGCTGACAAATGCCCATTCTCCTTGACAAAGGGAGAATGTCTGTTCCACATAATACGTTTCTATTTGTGGTCACATTTCACCTTCCTCACTACGGCTCTATTTTGTTACATGTTCTTAGCGTGTTGTTAAGTAACAGTTTGTTTGAATGATAAACTGCCCTGCTAACCGTACATACCTCCATAGACAACATTCCTCTAAGAGGGGGACAGAGAGAGAACAGTGCTGTGTTAAACATGGCAGTATGGTACTGGTATGAAAACTATAACGATCCACAATCAAACGAGATTGCAAAACCGCAGTGAACATCTGTCCCCTCAGCCCGTTCCAAACGATCTTGTAGCAGTTATTGTACCATTACATGCAGCTCTACTGTGCAGCGGCCAAATGGTTGCCCAAGCCAGACTTCAGTACCAGTCAAAAGGACACACCAGATTGACTGACCTTCATGTCTTAAAGTAAAAAGTCATTTCTCTTTGCTTATTTGAGCTGTTCTTGCCATAATATCGACTTGGTCTTTTAACAAATAGGGCTATCTTCTGTATAATTCCCCTACCTTGTGACAACACAACTGATTGGCTCAAACACATTAAGAAGGAAAGAAATTTCACAAATTAACTTTTAACAAGGCACACCTGTTAACTGAAACGCATTCCAGGTGACTACCTCATGAAGCTGGTTGAGAGAATGCCAAGAGTGTGCAAAGCTGTCATCAAGGCAAAGGGTGGCTATTTCAAGAATCTTAAATCTCAAATATATTTTTATTTGTTTAACACTTTTTTGGTTACTACATGATTCCATATGTGTTATTCCATAGTTTTGATGTCTTCACTATTATTCTACAATGTAGAAAATAGTAAAAATAAAGAAAAACCCTTGAATGAGTAGGTGTGTCCAAACTTTTGACTGGTACTGTAGATATATAAATATATACAGTGGGGAAAAAAAGTATTTAGTCAGCCACCAATTGTGCAAGTTCTCCCACTTAAAATGATGAGAGAGGCCTGTAATTTTCATCATAGGTACATGTCAACTATGACAGACAAAATGAGATTTTTTTTTCCAGAAAATCACATTGTAGGATTTTTAATGAATTTATTTGCAAATTATGGTGGAAAATAAGTATTTGGTCACCTACAAAGAAGCAAGATTTCTGGCTCTCACAGACCTGTAACAACTTATTTAAGAGGCTCCTCTGTCCTCCACTCGTTACCTGTATTAATGGCACCTGTTTGAACTTGTTATCAGTATAAAAAAGACACCTGTCCACAACCTCAAACAGTCACACTCCAAACTCCACTATGGTCAAGACCAAAGAGCTGTCAAAGGACACCAGAAACAAAATTGTAGACCTGCACCAGGCTGGGAAGACTGAATCTGCAATAGGTAAGCAGCTTGGTTTGAAGAAATCAACTGTGGGAGCAATTATTAGGAAATGGAAGACATACAAGACCACTGATAATCTCCCTCGATCTGGGGCTCCACGCAAGATCTCACCCCGTGGGGTCAAAATGATCACAAGAACGGTGAGCAAAAATCCCAGAACCACACGGGGGGACCTAGTGAATGACCTGCAGAGAGCTGGGACCAAAGTAACAAAGCCTACCATCAGTAACACACTACTCCGCCAGGGACTCAAATCCTGCATTGCCAGACGTGTCCCCCTGCTTAAGCCAGTACATGTCCAGGCCCGTCTGCAGTTTGGGAGAATGTCATATGGTCAGATGAAACCAAAATAGAACTTTTTGGTAAAAACTCAACTCAACGTGTTTGGAGGACAAAGAATGCTGAGTTGCATCCAAAGAACACCATACCTACTGTGAAGCATGGGGGTGGAAACTTCATGCTTTGGGGCTGTTTTTCTGCAAAGGGACCAGGACGACTGATCCGTGTAAAGGAAAGAATGAATGGGGCCATGTATCGTGAGATTTTGAGTGAAAACCTCCTTCCATCAGCAAGGGCATTGAAGATGAAACGTGGCTGGGTCTTTTAGCATGACAATGATCCCAAACACACCTCCCGGGCAACGAAGGAGTGGCTTCGTAAGAAGCATTTCAAGGTCCTGGAGTGGCCTAGCCAGTCTCCAGATCTCAACCCCAAAGAAAATCTTTGGAGGGAGTTGAAAGTCCGTGTTGCCCAGCGACAGCCCCAAAACATCACTGCTCTAGAGGAGATCTGCATGGAGGAATGGGCCAAAATACCAGCAACAGTGTGTGAAAACCTTGTGAAGACTTACAGAAAACGTTTGACCTGTGTCATTGCCAACAAAGGGTATATAACAAAGTATGGAGAAACTTTTGTTATTGACCAAATACTTATTTTCCACCATAATTTGCAAATAAATTCATTAAAAATCCTACAATGTGATTTTCTGGAAAAAAAAATCTCATTTTGTCTGTCATAGTTGACATGTACCTATGATGAAAATTACAGGCCTCTCTCATCATTTTAAGTGGGAGAACTTGCACAATTGGTGGCTGACTAAATACTTTTTTCCCCCACTGTATACTAGGACGAGCAATGTCGGAATGGCATTGACTAAAATACAGTAGAATACAGTATATACAGTTGTGGTCAAAAGTTTTGAGAATGACACAAATACTAATTTTCACAAAGTCTGCTGCTTCAGTTTTGATGATGGCAATTTGCATATACTCCAGAATGTCATGAAGTGTGATCAGATGAATTGCAATTAATTGCAAAGTCCCTCTTTGCCATGAAAATGAACTTAATCCCCCCCAAAAAATTCCAATGCATTTCAGCCCTGCCACAAAAGGACCAGCTGCCATCATGTCAGTGATTCTCTCGCTAACACAGGTGAGAGTGTTGACAAGGACAAGGCTGGATATCACTCTGTCATGCTGATTGAGTTAGAATAACAGACTGGAAGCTTTAAAAAGGAGGGTGGTGCTTGGAATCATTGTTCTTCCTCTGTTAACCATGGTGCCGTCATCATTGCTTTGCACAAAAAGGGCTTCACAGGCAAGGATATTGCTGCTAGTAAGATTGCACCTAAACCAACCATTTATCGGATCATCAAGAACTTCAAGGAGAGAGGTTCAATTGTTGTGAAGAAGGCCTCAGGGCGCCCAAGAAAGTCCAGCAAGCGCCAGGACCGTCTCCTAAAGTTGATTCAGCACCACCAGTGCAGAGCTTGCTCAGGAATGGCAGCAGGCAGGTGTGAGTGCATCTGCACGCACAGTGAGGCGAAGACTTTTGGAGGATGGCCTGGTGTCAAGAAGGGCAGCAAAGAAGTCACTTCTCTCCAGGAAAAACGTCAGGGACAGACTGATATTCTGCAAAAGGTACAGGGATTGGACTGCTGAGGACTGGGGTAAAGTCATTTTCTCTGATGAATCCCCTTCCCGATTGTTTGGGGCATCGGAAAACACCTTGTCTGGAAAAGACAAGGTGAGCGCTACCATCAGTCCTGTGTCATGCCAATAGTAAAGCATCCTGAAACCATTCATGTGTGGGGTTGCTTCTCAGCCAAGGGAGTGGGCTCACTCACAATTTTGCCTAAGAACACAGCCATGAATAAAGAATGGTACCAACACATCCTCCAAGTGCAACTTCTCCCAACCATCCAAGAACAGTTTGGTGACGACCAATGCCTTTTCCAGCATGATGGAGCACCTTGCCATAAGGCAAAAGTGATAACTATGTGGCTCGGGGAACAAAACATTGACATTTTGGGTCCATGACCAGGAAACTCCCCAGACCTTAATCCCATTGAGAATTTTGTGGTCGATCCACAAACACCAACAAATTCTGACAAACTCCAAGCATTGATTATGCAAGAATGGGCTGCCATCAGTCAGGATGTGGCCCAGAAGTTAATTGACAGCATGCCAGGGAGGATTGCAGAGGACTTGAAAAAGAAGGGTCAACACCGCAAATATTGACTCTTTGCATAAACTTAATGTAATTGTCAATAAAAGCCTTTGACACTTATGGAATGCTTGTAATTATACTTCAGTATACCATAGTAACATCTGACAAAAATATCTCATAACACTGAAGCAGTGAACTTTGTGAAGACCAATACTTGTGTCATTCTCAAAACTTTTGACCACGACTGTACAGCACATATGAAATGAGTAAAACAGTATGTAAACATGATTAGCGTGGTAACTAGCGCTGGGAGGTGGAGTGCTCATTGACCCATAGCAGTCTGATGTGGACCAATTTGTCGTGACCATCCACTGCCCTAAAGTCAGCTAGATTCAACAATTTCCATCGACATTCACAGAGCATGAAGGAAGTGGGACGCCTTACCTTTTTAGAAATGACTTTACTTGTTCCTTATATGATGCATTGCTTTTGCAGGCTGCAGAACCATGATTGCTGAAATCAAGTTTATTAGTGTTGGGAAGGAACAAAACCCTGCACTCCTAGTAGATCGCCTCTCTGGGATGGAGGGTGGAGAGAACCCTGGTCTATGAGGATAGACTGGCTGCTGAGGATCAGACTTATCTCTCTGTGTGTGTGTGTGTGTGTGTGTGTGTGTGTGTGTGTGTGTGTGTGTGTGTGTGTGTGTGTGTGTGTGTGTGTGTGTGTGTTTGTGTGTGTATATATTCAAAGTGTTTACCTTGATGAGTATCTTCCCTTTGAGGGTGTCTGGGGAGGGCAGGCGACCCTGTTCGTCTGCCTTGATGGCTGAGAGGTCCAGCTTGTCTCCCATCACCTCCACCAGGTACTGGGCCATCTTCTTCTGCTGGGGGACGCTGCAGTGGTTCTCTATGGACAGGATCACTGGGTAGCTGACAGAGACAGCCGTGGTTTACACAGAGACTCAGGTACAGCCGTGGGTTACACAGAGACTCAGGTACAGCCGTGGGTTACACAGAGACTCAGGTACAGCCGTGGGTTACACAGAGACCGGTACAGCCGTGGGTTACCATCACAATGAGACTTAAGGACAAAGACACAGGTACTGACAGAGATATATCTATATCAGGGGATGGGCAACTGATGGGGGTGGGGCCACACAAAAAATCTGAACTCATCATGAGGGGCCGCAGTTGCCAAATGTGCATACACACCACCCCCGACTAAGTTTAGATAGCTGGCCGCTAGACTAACTTAGCAATCAAAAAATTGTTAGCTGACATGGCTAATTGTGTGAATGTCAGTGACTGACATACAGTATCAAAAGAAAAACAAATTGCACCTTGTACAGCCTTGGCAATGGGTTATCACTATTGAAACAGTTGACAGTACAGCCATGGGTTCTCAGTTGTGTGACTACAGTTTAATTCCGATGTGATCACCTTCAACCCTCTAAAATGCGATTTTGAAGTGTCTCAGAAATTACAACGTTCTTTGAAGTTGAATACATTCCTGGCCGTTCAAACAATTATCTACAGAACGCGTTGCATACAGTCTTGAACCAGAACAAAAAACAGACACACATGCAGACCCTTTCACACACACACTCTGTTACTGTGTCACACATACAGTCTCATATACAGTTTGCGTGCATTTTGACAGTCTTGATAGGATTATCACCTACACCAGCGCCGCATCTTTGATGAGGTCTGTGTGGGTGTGCAGGTCACGTGGAAACTCTCGCTCGCTCCAGTGAGCCCAGAGGAATACAATACAACACATTGTTGAGCAGTGCCTTTCAACAACGATCCCGGGGGCTCATTGTATAGTCTATGATTGATTTCATTCTAGCGGAGCATCAATTTGTACGCTTGCTTGGTTCAAGGGAACCAATTCAATGAAAGAGACTGAGGCACTGAGAACAACCTATACAGTGGGGAAAAAAGTATTTAGTCAGCCACCAATTGTGCAAGTTCTCCCACTTAAAAAGATGAGAGAGGCCTGTAATTTTCATCATAGGTACACGTCAACTATGAAAGACAAAATGAGAAAAACAATTCCAGAAAATCACATTGTAGGATTTTTTATGAATTTATATGCAAATTATGGTGGAAAGTAAGTATTTGGTCAATAACAAAAGTTTCTCCATACTTTGTTATATACCCTTTGTTGGCAATGACACAGGTCAAACGTTTTCTGTAAGTCTTCACAAGGTTTTCACACACTGTTGCTGGTATTTTGGCCCATTCCTCCATGCAGATCTCCTCTAGAGCAGTGATGTTTTGGGGCTGTCGCTGGGCAACACAGACTTTCAACTCCCTCTAAAGATTTTCTATGGGGTTGAGATCTGGAGACTGGCTAGGCCACTCCAGGACCTTGAAATGCTTCTTACGAAGCCACTCCTTCGTTGCCCGGGCGGTGTGTTTGGGATCATTGTCATGCTGAAAGACCCAGCCACGTTTCATCTTCAATGCCCTTGCTGATGGAAGGAGGTTTTCACTCAAAATCTCATGATACATGGCCCCATTCATTCTTTCCTTTACACGGATCAGTCGTCCTGGCCCCTTTGCAGAAAAACAGCCCCAAAGCATGATGTTTCCACCCCCATGCTTCACAGTAGGTATGGTGTTCTTTGGATGCAACTCAGCATTCTTTGTCCTCCAAACACGACGAGTTGAGTTTTTACCAAAAATTTCTATTTTGGTTTCATCTGACCATATGACATTCTCCCAATCCTCTTCTGGATCATCCAAATGCACTCTAGCAAACTTCAGACGGGCCTGGACATGTACTGGCTTAAGCAGGGGGACACGTCTGGCACTGCAGGATTTGAGTCCCTGGCGGCGTAGTGTGTTACTGATGGTAGGCTTTGTTACTTTGGTCCCAGCTCTCTGCAGGTCATTCACTAGGTCCCCCCGTGTGGTTCTGGGATTTTTGCTCACCGTTCTTGTGTTCATTTTGACCCCACGGGGTGAGATCTTGCGTGGAGCCCCAGATCTTCTGGGGCTCCACGAAATTTCCATCCCCAACTATAACATTTTCCGTTTAGATAGAACTGCCAAAGGGGGTGGAGTTGCAATCTACTGTAGAGATAGCCTGCAGAGCTCCATCATACTATCCAGGTCTGTGCCCAAACAGTTTGAGCTTCTACTTCTAAAAATCCACCTTTCCAGAAATAAATCTCTCACTGTTGCCGCTTGCTACAGACCCCCCTCAGCCCCCAGCTGTGCCCTGGACACCATATGTGAATTGATTGCCCCCCATCTATCCTCAGAGTTCGTACTGCTTGGTGACCTAAATTGGGATATGCTTAACACCCCGGCCATCCTACAATCTAAACTAGATGCCCTCAATCTCACAAAAATTATCAACGAACCTACCAGGTACAACCCTAAATCCGTAAACATGGGTACTCTCATAGATATCATCCTGACTAACTTACCCTCTAAATACACCTCCGCTGTCTTCAACCAGGATCTCAGCGATCACTGCCTTATTGCCTGCGTCCGTAACGGGTCCGCGGTCAAACGACCACCCCTCATCACTGTCAAACGCTCCCAAAAACACTTCAGCGAGCAGGCCTTCCTAATTGACCTGGCCCAGGTATCCTGGATGGATATAGATTTCATTCCGTCAGTAGAGGATGCCTGGTTGTTCTTTAAAAGTAATTTCCTCTCAATCTTAAATAGACATGCCCCATTCAAAAAATACAGAACTAAGAACAGATATAGCCCCTGGTTCTCCTCAGACTTGACTGCCCTTGACCAGCACAAAAACATCCTGTGGCGTACTGCATTAGCATCAAATAGCCCCCGCGATATGCAACTTTTCAGGGAAGTTAGGAACCAATATACACAAGCAGTTAGGAAAGCAAAGGCTAACTTTTTCAAACAGAAATTTGCATCCTGTAGCACTAACTCCAAAAAGTTTTGGGACACTGTAAAGTCCATGGAAAATAAGAGCACTTCCTCCCAGCTGCCCACTGCACTGAGGCTAGGAAACACTATCACCACCGATAAATCTACAATAATCGAGAATTTCAACAAGCATTTTGCTACGGCTGGCCATGCTTTCCACCTGGCTACCACTACCCCGGCCACCAGCTCTGCACCCTCCGCTGCAACTTGCCCATGCCCCCACCGCTTCTCCTTCACACAAATCCAGACAGCTGATGTTCTAAAAGAGCTGCAAAATCTGGACCCCTACAAATCATCTGGGCTAGACAATCTGGACCCTTTCTTTCTAAAACTAGCCGCCGAAATTGTCGCAACCCCTATTACTAGCCTGTTCAACCTCTCTTTCGTAACGTCTGAGATCCCCAGAGATTGGAAAGCTGCCGCGGTCATCCCCCTCTTCAAAGGGGGGTGACACTCTAGATCCAAACTGTTACAGACCCATATCCATCCTGCCCTGCCTTTCAAAAGTTTTTGAAAGCCAAGTCAACAAACAGATCACCGACCATTTCGAATCCCACCGTACCTTCTCCGCTATGCAATCCGGTTTCCGAGCTGGTCATGGGTGCACTTCAGCCACGCTCAAGGTCCTAAACGATATTATAACCGCGATCGATAATAGACAGTACTGTGCAGCCGTTTTCATTGACCTGGCCAAGGCTTTCGACTCTGTCAACCACCGCATTCTTATTGGCAGACTAAATAGCCTTGGTTTCTCAAATGACTGCCTCGCCTGGTTCACCAACTACTTCTCAGATAGAGTTCAATGTGTCAAATCGGAGGGCCTGTTGTCTGGACCTATGGCAGTCTCTATGGGGGTGCCACAGGGTTCAATTCTTGGGCCGACTCTTTTCTCTGTGTATATCAATGACGTCGCTCTTGCTGCTGGTGACTCTCAGATCCACCTCTACGCAGACGACACCATTTTGTATACATCTGGCCCTTCATTGGACACTGTGTTAACAAACCTCCAAACAAGCTTCAATTCCATACAACACTCCTTCAGTAGCCTCCAACTGCTCTTAAACACTAGTAAAACTAAATGCATGCTCTTCAACCGAACGCTGCTTGCACCCGCCCACCCGACTAGAATCACTACTCTCGACGGGTCTGACCTAGAGTATGTGGACAACTACAAATATCAGGGTGTCTGGTTAGACTGTAAACTCTCCTTCCAGACTCACATTAAGAATCTCCAATCCAAAGTTAAATCTAGAATCGGTTTCCTATTTCGCAACAAAGCCTCCTTCACTCATGCTGCCAAACATGCCCTCGTAAAACTGACTATCCTACCGATCCTTGACTTCGGCGATGTCATTTACAAAATAGCCTCCAACACTCTACTCAGCAAATTGGATGTAGTCTATCACAGTGCCATCCGTTTTGTCTCCAAAGCCCCATATAATACCCACCACTGTGACCTGTACGCTCTTGTTGGCTGGTCCTCACTACATATTCGTCGCCAAACCCACTGGCTCCAGGCCATCTATAAATCACTGCTAGGCAAATCCCCGCCTTATCTTAGCTCATTGGTCACCATAGCAACACCCACCCGTAGTCTGCGCTCCAGCAGGTATATCTCACTGGTCATCCCCAAAGCCAACACCTCCTTTGGCCGCAATTCCTTCCAGTTCTCTGCTGCCAATGACTGGAACAAATTGCAAAAATCTCTGAAGCTGGAGACACTTATCTCCCTCACTAACTTTAAGCATCAGTTGTCAGAGCACCTTACCGATCACTGCACCTGTACACAGCCCATCTGAAATTAGCCCGCCCAACTACCTCATCCCTATATTGTTATCTATTTTGCTCATTTGTACCCCAGTATCTCTATTTGCACATCATCTCTTGCACATCTATCATTCCAGTGTTAATACTAATTGTAATTATTTTGCACTATAGCCTATTTTATTGCCTACCTCCATAACTTGCTAAATTTGCACACTGTATATTATATGTATTTCTGTTGTATTTTTGACTTTGTTTTGTTTTACCCCATATGTAACTCTGTGTTTGTTTTTATCGCACTGCTATGCTTTATCTTGGCCAGGTCGCAGTTGTAAATGAGAACTTGTTCTCAACTGGTTTACCTGGTTAAATAAAGGTAAAATAAAAAATAAATAAAATAAAAGATCGAGGGAGATTATCAGTGGTCTTGTATGTCTTCTATTTCCTAATAATTGCTCCCTCAGTTGATTTCTTCAAACCAAGCTGCTTACCTATTGCAGATTCAGTCTTCCCAGCCTGGTGCAGGTCTACAATTTTGTTTCTGGTGTCCTTTGACAGCTCTTTGGTCTTGGCCATAGTGGAGTTTGGAGTGTGACTGTTTGAGGTTGTGGACAGGTGTATTTTATACTGATAACAAGTTCAAACAGGTGCCATTAATACAGGTAACGAGTGGAGGACAGAGGAGCCTCTTAAAGAAGAAGTTACAGGTCTGTGACAGCCAGAAATCTTGCTTGTTTGAAGGTGACCAAATACTTATTTTCCACCATAATTTGCAAATAAATTCATTAAAAATCCTACAATGTGATTTTCTGGAATTTATTTTCTCAATTTGTCTGTCATAGTTGACGTGTACCTATGATGAAAATTACAGGCCTCTCTCATCTTTTTAAGTGGGAGAACTTGCACAATTGGTGGCTGACTAAATACTTTTTTTCCCCACTGTATGTAATAGGAATATTCTGAGAAAACCATCTTTAATAGTTTATGACTTAGAAATAACTATAATTATAATTCACCATGAGCCTTGTTCATCTGGCGCTTACCACTGCTGGTGAAAACCATACAGTGCCTTCAGAAAGTACAGTATTCACACCCCTTTACTTTGTCCGCATTTTGTTGTTACAGCCTGAATTTAAAATGTATTGAGATTTTATGTCACTGATATACACACACACACACACAATACCCCATAATGTCAAAGTGGAATTTTGCTTTTAGACATTATTAGAAAATTACATAAATAAATAAGCTGAAATGTTTTGAGTCAATAAGTATTCAAACCCTTAGTTATCACAGGCCTAAATAAGTTCAGGAGTAAAAAGGTGCTTAACAAATCCCATAAGTTGCATGGACATATTCCGTGTTCAATAATAGAGGTTTACATGATTTTTGAATGACTACTACATCTCTGTACCCCACACATACAATCACCTGTAGGGTCCCTCAATCAAGTAGTGAATTTCAAGCACAGATTCAAGCTCAAAAGACCAGAGAAGTTTTTCAATGTCTCACAAAGAAGGGCACCGATTGGTAGATGTGTAAATAAAACATTAAAATAAAAGCAGGTGCTGAATATCCCTTTAAGCATGGTGAAGTTATTAGGCTTTGGATGGTGTATCAATACACCCAGTCACTACAAACATACAGGCGTCCTGCCTAACTCAGTTGCTGGAGAGGAAGGAAACTGCTCAGGGATTTCACCATGAGGCCAATGGTGACTTTAAAACAGTTCGAGTTTGATGGTTGTGATGAGAAAACTGAGGATGGATCAACAACATTGTAGTTACTCCACAATACTAACATAAATGACAGAGTAAAAAGGAAGTCTGTACAGAATAAAAAATATTCCAAAATATGCATCCTGTTTGCAACAACGCACTTAAGTAATACTGCAAAAAATGTGGCAAAGAAATTAACTTTTTGTCCTGAATACAAAGCGATTTGGGGCAAATCCAACACATCACTGAGTACCACTCTTCATATTTTCAAGCATGGGTATGTTATGGGTATGCTTGTCATCGGCAAGGACTAGGGAGTTATTTTTAGGATACAAATAAATGGAAGAGCCAAGCACAGGCAAAATCCTAGAGGAAAACCTGGTTCAGTCTGCTTTCCAACAGACACTGGGAGACTAATTCACCTTTCAGCAGGACAATAACCTAAAACACAAGGCCAAATCTACACTGGAGTTGCTTACCAAGACAACATTGAATGATTTAAATCGTCTTGAACATCTATGGCAAGACTTGAAAATGGCTGTCTAGCAATGATCAACAATCAACTTGACAGAGCTTGAAGAATTGTACAAAGAATAATAGGCAAATATTACAAATATTGTACAATCCAGGTGTGCAAAGCTCTTAGGGACTTACCCAAAAAGACTCTCAGCTGTAATTGCCACCAAAGGTGCTTCTACAAAGTATTGACTCAGGGGTGTGAACACTTATGTAGATGAGATATTTCTGTATTTCATTTTCAATACATTTGCTAAAATAAAATAAAAATAAACATGTTTTCACTTTGCCATTATGGAGTATTGTGTGTAATTAAAAAAATATATTTAACCCATTTTGAATTCAGGTTGTAGCAACAAAATGTGGAATAAGTCGAGGATTATGAATACTTTCTGAAGGCACTACATGGAGCATACCATAATCTGGAGCATACGAGAAAGCCTAAGGTAAAGTAGGCTACATCTGAAAGATATATTGTCACCATTAACATGTATGAATGATGTTGGTAGGCTTGCTATTGCGTGCATGACAAAAAGCTCTCAGACCAATATCTCATGAAACGCCATGCGGACTGCAATTTCATTCAACGCCTCATTCCCTCTCATTCTCCCATACAGGCTCAGGATGAAGGACAAGGCTTAAAAGATCGCTTGAAAGCAGATGATGTGCGAGCGAAACATCAATCAACCTAATTTTCCATGTGCTATAAAAACGTTTAGATTTATATCGTATTTTTGTTAGGGAGTTAACCCGAGAAGCTAGCTAGGATGTCTGTGGACAAAACGAGATTAAGAATTCAGAGGTGGCGCACTTACTTGTTTTTCACAAAGGCGTACTTGTTGATGGTCTCGATGACGTCTTTGAAGAGGATCTTGGAGGTCAGCGTGTAGCCGTGGTGCACAATGGGCTCTCCGTCCTGCCCGTCCCAGCAGTCCACTGCAGTGGAGGGAAAGAAAATGAAAGGATGGAATGAACAGAGGAACCATGAGAAGGTAGTGCACTCAAATCTAATTAATAACCCCCCCACACAAACGGTTACCTACTAGGGACTCATTACATTCTCTGACTGAAGACAAAACAGACAATATTTGTAACAGTATGTAAACTCTATGTACAATATGTGTGTGGGTACACGCTTGCTTGCAGAAACGTTTGTTTGGGTGCATGAGTGCGTGTTAGTCAGAGACCTTCCACGCAGCGGCAGCCGGCCTGCAGCACCCAGGCGTACATGTCGAGGCGGGACTGGGACATGAGCTGGTCCCCCATCAGGTAGGTGTTGTGGGACGAGGCGATGAAGTAGTTGCAGAGCGGCTGAGACATGTCCTGAGTCACCACATTGTGCTCTGGGTTGAAGATGTCCCCCACTGGGCTGCGCATGTAGCTGGTGAAACCTGGGTCACAAGCAAACAGAACAAAACTTTAAAAACACTCTGCAACCAAAAACGTCCAGGTAATCGCCTCCGTTTCAGTCCGTTTCTGTCCGTTTGGTGCTTAGGGAATGCAACCCTGTAGAGGACCACATGGGAGCCATCACTCAGGAGGGCTTGGCGAGACGTTGTAGACGGGGGGAGGGATTGGAGAGACGTTGTAGACGGGGGAAGGGATTGGAGAGACTTTGTAGAGGGGGGGAGGGATTGGAGAGACGTAGACGGGGGAGGGATTGGAGAGACATTGTAGAGGGGGGGAGGGATTGGAGAGACGTTGTAGAGGGGGGGAGGGATTGGAGAGACTTTGTAGAGGGGGGGAGGGATTGGAGAGACATTGTAGACGGGGGAGAGATTGGAGAGACGTAGACGGGGGAGGGATTGGAGAGACATTGTAGAGGGGGGGAGGGATTGGAGAGATGTTGTAGAGGGGGGGAGGGATTGGAGAGACTTTGTAGAGGGGGGAGGGATTGGAGAGACGTTGTAGAGGGGGGGAGGGATTGGAGAGACTTTGTAGAGGGGGGGAGGGATTGGAGAGACGTTGTAGACGGGGGGAGGGATTGGAGAGACGTTGTAGACGGGGGGAGGGATTGGAGAGACGTTGTAGAGGGGGGGAGGGATTGGAGAGAAGTAGACGGGGGAGGGATTGGAGAGACGTTGTAGACGGGGGAGGTTTTGGAGAGACATTGTAGACGGGGGGGAGGGATTGGAGAGACGTTGTAGACGGGGGAGGAATTGGAGAGACGTTGTAGACGGGGGGAGGGATTGGAGAGACGTTGTAGACGGGGGAGGGAGAGATGTAGACGGGGGAGGTAGAGATGTAGACGGGGAGGGAGAGACGTTGTAGATGGGGGAGAGATTGGAGAGACGTTGTAGACGGGGGAGGGATTGGAGAGACGTTGTAGACGGGGGAGGGATTGGAGAGACGTTCGACATTCGACTGATAAAAGGACAATAGAAAGGGAACCAATAAGAGAGCTCTTACCATCAATACCCAGAACCCCCTGCTTCTGGTTCTCGGGGCATGGCTCAAATCTGTTCACAATCTCAAGGCAATGGTCTTTGGTCACCTTCGTCATCTACAAAACAGAAAAAGGACACAAATGCACAATAAGCAAATAGTAAAAAAAAACGCAGATTGACTACAGTAACTAATAATGTCATGAAATCCCCCTGCATTCCAGTAAACATTGGGAGAGTTGGTAAAGATAAATTCCTGTTAATCCAATAAGGACATGTCCTCACATGCGGCTTATAGCCCCCATCTCTGTGATAGAATCCGATTGTACGCCCGACAGCTGGCTTTTTAAACTGGCTGATTGGTCGATCTGATACCCATCCATGTCAATCATCGTCAGGCCGACCCAAATTGGGTGGGGGGCAGGGAGATGACACTCACTTTGTCGCACTGCCAGTTTTATTCCTCCAGTTGAGTGCTGCACACTACTAGCTCAATATGTTTGCGGTTAGCCCTGGGAGACAGAGGCTTTGGCTAAGTAGCTTGGACTACAGTGAGGGAAAAAAGTATTTGATACCCTGCTGATTTTGTACGTTTGCCCACTGACAAAGAAATGATCAGTCTATAATTTTAATGGTAGGTTTATTTGAACAGTGAGAGGCAGAATAAAAACAAAAAAAACCAGAAAAACGCATGTAAAAAATGTTATAAATTGATTTGCATTTTAATGAGGGAAATAAGTATTTGACCCCCTCTCAATCAGAAAGATTTCTGGCTCCCAGGTGTCTTTTATAAAGGTAACGAGCTGAGATTAGGCGCACACTCTTAAAGGGAGTGCTCCTAATCTCAGCTTGTTACCTGTATAAAAGACACCTGTCCACAGAAGCAATCAATCAATCAGATTCCAAACTCTCCACCATGGCCAAGACCAAAGAGCTCTCCAAGGATGTCAGGGACAAGATTGTAGACCTACACAAGGCTGGAATGGGCTACAAGACCATCGCCAAGCAGCTTGGTGAGAAGGTGACAACAGTTGGTGCGATTATTCGCAAATGGAAGAAACACAAAATAACTGTCAATCTCCCTCGGCCTGGGGCTCTATGCAAGATCTCACCTCGTGGAGTTGCAATGATCATGAGAACGGTGAGGAATCAGCCCAAAACTACACGGGAGGATCTTGTCAATGATCTCAAGGCAGCTGGGACCATAGTCACCAAGAAAACAATTGGTAACGCACTACGCCGTGAAGGACTGAAATCCTGCAGTGCCCGCAAGGTCCCCCTGCTCAAGAAAGCACATATACAGGGCTGTCTGAAGTTTGCCAATGAACATCTGAATGATTCAGAGGAGAACTGAGTGAAAGTGTTGTGGTCAGATGAGACCAAAATGGAGCTCTTTGGCATCAACTCAACTCGCCGTGTTTGGAGGAGGAGGAATGCTGTCTATGACCCCAAGAACACCATCTCCACCGTCAAACATGGAGGTGGAAACAGTATGCTTTGGGGGTGTTTTTCTGCTAAGGGGACAGGACAACTTCACCGCATCAAAGGAACGATGGACGGGGCCATGTACCGTCAAATCTTGGGTGAGAACATCCTTCCCTCAGCCAGGGCATTGAAAATGGGCCGTGGATGGGTATTCCAGCATGACAATGACCCAAAACACACGGCCAAGGCAACAAAGGAGTGGCTCAAGAAGAAGCACATTAAGGTCCTGGAGTGGCCTAGCCAGTCTCCAGAACTTAATCCAATAGAAAATCTGTGGAGGGAGCTGAAGGTTCAAGTTGCCAAACGTCAGCCTCGAAACCTTAATGACTTGGAGAAGATCTGCAAAGAGGAATGGGACAAAATCCCTCCTGAGATGTGTGCAAACCTGGTGGCCAACTACAAGAAACGTCTGACCTCTGTGATTGCCAACAAGGGTTTTGCCACCAAGTACTCAGTCATGTTTTGCAGAGGGGTCAAATACTTATTTCCCTTGTTAAAATGCAAATCAATTTATAACATTTTTGACATGCGTTTTTCTGGATTTTTTTGTTGTTATTCTGTCTCTCACTGTTCAAATAAACCTACCATTAAAATTATAGACTGATCATTTCTTTGTCAGTGGGCAAACGTACAAAATCAGCAGGGGATCAAATACTTTTTTCCCTCACTGTACTTACGGCGACGGGAAAATTGGCGTTTCAAGGACAGAATGAGAAGCTAGCTAGCGAAAGGGCTAATTCTCCCTTTTGTGCCACTTTCCCATGGTCACCTACAAACATTAGGGATTTGCTTTCTGACCGCGGTTTTGCCCCGATTCCCGATCACGAGAGGCTAATGGGCTTTTTAAGAAGTGGGTAAATGTGGATAAGTGGGTTCGACTAACGAGTGTGTAGAGTGGAGACACTTTGGGTATTGCTGCAGCAAATGGTGATGAGATGGGAGAGTTAATGCACTACACAGCGAGAGAGCAGTAAACACAGTTAAACTGAGAAACCGAGGGAAGCTGTTGCTAATGATGCCAGCAGAGAGGAGCTAGAGACAGCCTAGCTGCATCCTGTTTGATATAACTCACCTCGTTAAACCGCCACAACCCTCCCCGACGAAGTAGGGAGTAGTGGAACATCAAACACAATTAGCCCAAATAATATTGCCCAGCTTCTGAAACGGGCAGACTAGACATCAACTGGGATCCAAACACGAAAAAAAAAATGCATATTTTCCCCACTCCATTTTGCTGACTGCAAATTAGCCAAAAAAACCACACGCTCGTTATAAAGCACAGAGCTAATTCATTAAATACCGCTCCTTTCATTTTTTTTCTTTTTGACAGTCTTTTTCTTCTTCAGCAAAACCATTAGATAGAAGGTGCTCATATTTTATTTTAGCCCCCCGAAGCCTTTAGAATTGGGACTGCTAATTCTAATTGCCTTGTAGGGGCCTGGGTATGCATATAACCCACCACTATTAAGCATTTGTTTTAGGCCCCAATAGCAAATCCATGAAATGTCTGACTGTCTGTCTGTCACCTAGCAGAGTCTCTACGGGGTGACTCACATGGAAGATTCATCCTTGTTTACTTAGCTTGTTGGCTAAGTGGGATGTCAGCAAAAAAACATATCCTCTAACTTGTAGTAGCATGAGCTTTTCCCACATAGAAAAGTTGATCATTCTATACTGTAGATACAGCTGTACTGGCTCTGTTTCTATCATACCACAGAATGAGAAAATGCATTGGATAACCATCCGAAATGGGATGCATGTATACAAAAGTGATGGTGGTGTTTTTCCAGTCACGTGTCTGTTCCATCCGTATGTTCTTTAACGGTCTTTGTCAAGGCTTGGAGTCAAAATGGCAAACTGAGCTTTTCACTGCAATTCAATAGTAATATTGTGTGCTTTTTTGCATAATGTGCTGAAAGGGAAAATTCTGACACATGGAAACAGGCAGGAGGGGGGAAAAAAACGGATAAAATTGTCCCGACAAGTGTATCCTGTTGCTACCATTATTGAGACTTAAAATCAGGTGTTTGCCTCAGACTCAAGCAATTACAAAAAAGTGGAGTCACAGAAATGCCTTAAAGGGGTCCAAAGTGACTTAAAGGAGGGGCAAAGCAAGACTTAACCCGGAGGCATGTCCCCATGGATACCTTTTCAATATCTGGGGATATGCAGTGTGTGTACCTCTGTGTGTGCCTGTGTGGCTGCCTGCATACGCTCCAACTCTGCTCACTGTACCTTCTGGTCGAGCTCCAGGAAGCGGGCCAGGTTGCTGGTGTCAAGGTGGTCCATGTGGTTGCTGTAAGTGAGCATGAGCAGGTAGAGGTCGTGGCGCGTCGACATCATCTTGTAGAAGGAACAGAACTCCTCAAAACCCAGGGTGCCCTGGTTGTCATCAGTGTCTGCCTCCTGGGGAGAAGACAAGAGTGTAAACAGTTAGTCCAGGTAACTATCCAGGTAACTATTCATTATCTGACTATGCATCATTATCACTGACTATGCATATTTCACAAAACTATACACACACTGACACAAAACACACACACACACACAATTCAAATACAAAACACACATACTTTTACACTCATCATATGCTGCTGCTACTCTGTTCTTTATTTAACTCTTATTATTATCTATCCTGATGCCCAGTCACTTTATCCTGTCTTCATGTACATATCTACCTCAAATACCTTATTATTATCTATCCTGATGCCTAGTCCCTTTACCCTGCCTTCATGTACATATCTACCTCAAGTACCTTATTATTATCTATCCTGATGCCTAGTCACTTTACCCTGCCTTCATGTACATATCTACCTCATATACCTTATTATTATCTATCCTGATGCCTAGTTCCCTGCCTTCATGTACATATCTACCTCAAATACCTTATTATTATCTATCCTGATGCCTAGTCACTTTACCCTGCCTTCATGTACATAACTACCTCAAATACCTTATTATTATTATTATCTGTTCTGATGCCTAGTCACTTTATCCTGCCTTCATGTACATATCTACCTCAAATACCTTATTATCTATCCTGATGCCTAGTCACTTTACCCTGCCTTCATGTACATATCTACCTCAAATACCTTATTATTATCTATCCTGATGCCTAGATACTTTACCCTGCATTCATGTACATATCTACCTCAAATACCTTATTATTATCTATCCTGATGCCTAGTCACTTTACCCTGCCTTCATGTACATATCTACCTCAAATACCTTATTATTATCTATCCTGATGCCTAGTCACTTTACCCTGCCTTCATGTACATATCTACCTCATATACCTTATTATTATCTAGTCCTGATGCCTAGTTCCCTGCTTCATGTACATATCTACCTCAAATACCTTATTATTATCTATCCTGATGCCTAGTCACTTTACCCTGCCTTCATGTACATATCTACCTCAAATACCTTAATTATTATCCTATCCTGATTGCCTAGTCCACGTTAACCCTGCCTTCATGTACATATCTACCCTCAACATAACCTTATTATTATCTATCCTGATGCCTAGTCCACTTTACCCTGCCTTCATGTACCATATCACCTCAAACTTACCTTATTATTAATCTATCCTGATGCCTAGTCCTTTAACCCCTGTCTTCATGGTCACATATCTACCTCAAATACCTTATATATCTATCTATCCTGATGCCTAGTTCCCGCCCTTCATGTACATATCTAACCTCAAATACCATTAATTATTATCTACCCTGATGCCTAGTCCACTTTACCCCCTTCCATGTACTATCTACCTCAAATAACCTTATTTTTATCTATCCTGATGCCTAGTCACTTTACCCTGCCTTCATGTACATATCTACCTCATATACCTTATTATTATCTATCCTGATGCCTAGTTCCCTGCCTTCATGTACATATCTACCTCAAATACCTTATTATTATCTATCCTGATGCCTAGTCACTTTACCCTGCCTTCATGTACATATCTACCTCAAATACCTTATTATTATCTATCCTGATGCCTAGTCACTTTACCCTGCCTTCATGTACATATCTACCTCCAATACCTTATTATTATCTATCCTGATGCCTAGTCACTTTACCCTGCCTTCATGTACATATCTACCTCAAATACCTTATTATTATCTATCCTGATGCCTAGTCACTTTACCCTGCCTTCATGTACATATCTACCTCATATACCTTATTATTATCTATCCTGATGCCTAGTTCCCTGCCTTCATGTACATATCTACCTCAAATACCTTATTATTATCTATCCTGATGCCTAGTCACTTTACCCTGCCTTCATGTACATATCTACCTCCAATACCTTATTATTATCTATCCTGATGCCTAGTCACTTTACCCTGCCTTCATGTACATATCTACCTCATATACCTTATTATTATCTATCCTGATGCCTAGTTCCCTGCCTTCATGTACATATCTACCTCAAATACCTTATTATTATCTATCCTGATGCCTAGTCACTTTACCCTGCCTTCATGTACATATCTACCTCCAATACCTTATTATTATCTATCCTGATGCCTAGTCACTTTACCCTGTCTTCATGTACATACACAGTTGAAGTCGGAGGTTTACATACACCTTAGCCAAATACATTTAAACTCAGTTTTTCACAATTCCTGACATTTAATCCTAGTAACAATTCCCTGTCTTAGGTCAGTTAGGATATAATAATAATAATAATACATAAATAATAATATGCCATTTAGCAGACACTTTTATCCAAAGCGACTTACAGTCATGCGTGCATACATTTTTTGTGTATGGGTGGTCCCGGGGATCGAACCCACTACCTTGGCATTACAAGCGCCGTGCTCTACCAGCTGAGCTACAGAGGACCACACGATCACCACTTTCTTTTAAGAATGTGAAATGTCAGAATAATAGTAGCGAGAATGATTTATTTCAGCTTTTATTTATTTCATCGCATTCCCAGTGGGTCAGAAGTTTACATACACTCAATTAGTATTTGGTAGCATTGCCTTTAAATTGTTTAACTTGGGTCAAACGTTTCGGGTAGCCTTCCACAAGCTTCCCACAATTGTTGGGTGAATCTTGGCCCATTCCTCCTGACAGACCTGGTGTAAGTGAGTCAGGTTTGTATGCCTCCTTGCTCGCACACGCTTTTTCAGTTCTGCCCACACATTTTCTATAGGATTGAGGTCAGGGCTTTGTGATGGCCACTTCAATACCTTGACTTTGTTGTCCTTAAGCCATTTTGCCACAACTTCGGAAGTATGCTTGGGGTCATTGTCCATTTGGAAGACCCATTTGCGACCAAGCTTTAACTTCCTGACTGATGTCTTGAGATGTTGCTTCAATATATCCACATAATTTTCCTTCCTCATGATGCCATCTATTTTGTGAAGTGCACCAGTCCCTCCTGCAGCAAAGCACCCCCACAGCATGATGCTGCCACCCCCGTGCTTCACGGTTGCCGAAGAACACATTTAACATTTTAGTCTGCTAAATGACTAAAATGTAAAATGTGTTCTTCGGCTTGCAAGCCCCCCCCTTTTCCTCCAAAAATAACGATGGTCATTATGGCCAAACAGTTCTATTTTTTTTTTAATCAGACCAGAGAATGTTTCTCCAAAAAGTACGATCTTTGTCCCCATGTGCAGTTGCAAGCTGTAGTCTGGCTTTTATATGGCGGTTATGGAGCATTGGCTTCTTCCTTGCTGAGCGGCCTTTCAGGTTATGTCGATATAGGACTTGTTTTACTGTGGATATAGATACTTTTGTACCTGTTTCCTCCAGCATCTTCACAAGGTCCTTTGCTGTTGTTCTGGGATTGATTTGCACTTTTCGCACCAAAGTACGCTCATCTCAAGGAGACAGAGCGCGTCTCTTTCCTGAGCGGTATGACAGCTTCGTGGTCCCATGGTGTTTATACTTGCGTACTATTGTTTGTACAGGTGAACGTGGTACCTTCAGGCATTTGGAAATTGCTCCCAAGGATGAACCAGACTTGTGGAGGTCTACCATTATTTTTCTGAGGTCTTGGCTGATTTCTTTTGATTTTCCCATGATGTCAAGCAAAGAGGCACTGAGTTTAAAGGTAGGCCTTGAAATACATCCACAGGTACACCTCCAATTGACTCAAATGATGTCAATTAGCCTATCAGAAGCTTCTAAAACCATGACATCATTTTCTGGAATTTTCCAAGCTGTTTAAAACGCACAGTCAACTTAGTGTATGTAAACTTCTGACCCACTGGAATTGTGATACAGTGAATTATAAGTGAAATAATCTGTCTGTAAACAATTGTTGGTAAAATGACTTGTGTCATGCACAAAGTAGATGTCCTAACCGACTGGCCAAAACTATAGTTTGTTAACAAGAAATGTGTGGAGTGGTTGAAAAACGAGTTTTAATGACTCCAACCTAAGTGTATGTAAACTTCTGACTTCAACTGTATCTACCTCAAATACATCATACCTCTGCACATTGATCTGGTACTGGTACTCCCTGTATATAGCTCCACCTTGATCTGGTACTGATACTCCCTGTATATAGCTGCACATTGATCTGGTACTTCCTGTATATAGCTCCACATTGTTCTGGTACTTCCTGTATATACAGTGGGGAGAACAAGTATTTGATACACTGCCGATTTTGAAGGTTTTCCTACTTACAAAGCATGTAGAGGTCTGTAATGTTTATCATAGGTACACTTCAACTGTGAGAGACTGAATCTAAAACAAAAATCCAGAAAATCACATTGTATGATTTTTAAGTAATTCATTTGCATTTTATTGCATGACATAAGTATTTGATACATCAGAAAAGCAGAACTCTATATTTGGTACAGAAACCTTTGTTTGCAATTACAGAGATCATACATTTCCTGTAGGTCTTGACCAGGTTTGCACACACTGCAGCAGGGATTTTGGCCCACTCCTCCAAACAGACCTTCTCCAGATCCTTCAGGTTTCGGGGCTGTCGCTGGGCAATACGGACTTTCAGCTCCCTCCAAAGATTTTCTATTGGGTTCAGGTCTGGAGACTGGCTAGGCCACTCCAGGACCTTGAGATGCTTCTTACGGAGCCACTCCTTAGTTGCCCTGGCTGTGTGTTTCGGGTCGTTGTCATGCTGGAAGACCCAGCCACGACCCATCTTCAATGCTCTTACTGAGGGAAGGAGGTTGTTGGCCAAGATCTCAATCAATCAATCAATTTTATTTTATATAGCCCTTCTTACATCAGCTAATATCTCGAAGTGCTGTACAGAAAACCCAGCCTAAAACCCCAAACAGCTAGTAATGCAGGTGTAGAAGCACGGTGGCTAGGAAAAAACTCCCTAGAAAGGCCAAAACCTAGGAAGAAACCTAGAGAGGAACCAGGCTATGAGGGGTGGCCAGTCCTCTTCTGGCTGTGCCGGGTGGAGATTATAACAGAACCATGCCAAGATGTTCAAAAATGTTCATAAGTGACAAGCATGGTCAAATAATAATCAGGAATAAATCTCAGTTGGCTTTTCATAGCCGATCATTAAGAGTTGAAAACAGCAGGTCTGGGACAGGTAGGGGTTCCATAACCGCAGGCAGAACAGTTGAAACTGGAATAGCAGCGATACATGGCCCCATCCATCCTCCCCTCAATACGGTGCAGTCGTCCTGTCCCCTTTGCAGAAAAGCATCCCCAAAGAATGATGTTTTCACCTCCATGCTTCACGGTTGGGATGGTGTTGGGTTGTACTCATCCTTCTTCTTCCTCCAAACACGGCGAGTGGAGTTTAGACCAAAAAGCTCTATTTTTGTCTCATCAGACCACATGACCTTCTCCCATTCCTCCTCTGGATCATCCAGATGGTCATTGGCAAACTTCAGACGGGCCTGGACATGCGCTGGCTTGAGCAAGGGGACCTTGCGTACGCTGCAGGATTTTAATCCATGACGGCGTAGTGTGTTACTAATGGTTTTCTTTGAGACTGTGGTCCCAGCTCTCTTCAGGTCATTGACCAGATCCTGCCGTGTAGTTCTGGGCTGATCCCTCACCTTCCTCATGATCATTGATGCCCCACGAGGTGAGATCTTGCATGGAGCCCCACCCCAGACCGAGGGTGATTGACCGTCATCTTGAACTTTTTCCATTTTCTTATAATTGCGCCAACAGTTGTTGCCTTCTCACCAAGCTGCTTGCCTATTGTCCAGCCCATCCCAGCCTTGTGCAGGTCTACAATTGTATCCCTGATGTCCTTACACAGCTCTCTGGTCTTGGCCATTGTGGAGAGGTTGGAGTCTGTTTGATTGAGTGTGTGGACAGGTGTCTTTGTATACAGGTAACGAGTTCAAACAGGTGCAGTTAATACAGGTAATGAGTGGAGAACAGGAGGGCTTCTTAAAGAAAAACTAACAGGTCTGTGAGAGCCGGAATTCTTACTGGTTGGTAGGTGATCAAATACTTATGTCATGCAATAAAATGCAAATTCATTACTTAAAAATCATACAATGTGATTTTCTGGATGTTTGTTTTAGATTCCGTCTCTCACAGTTGAAGTGTACCTATGATAAAAATTACAGACCTCTACATGCTTTGTAAGTAGGAAAACCTGCAAAATCGGCAGTGTATCAAATACTTGTTCTCCCCACTGTAGCTCTATTCTTGTGTATTGTATTCCTCGTGTTACTACTTTCTATTTTGTTAACTCTGCATCGTAGGGAAGGGCTCGTAAGCAAGCATTTCACGGTTAAATCTACACCCGTTGTATTTGGCGCACGTGACATAATCAAATTTTAGGACCCAGGACAAACCCAGACGCCGGCATGCTCAACGGACGGGAAGAAGAGTGCCTCGTGGAAACAACGTACCTCAGTGTCTCAACACCGAACAGGCTATCTGAAAGGAAGTCAATGTCTTGAGCGCGAGAGGCTGAGAAAAATACTTAATGCGCTACACTAAGTATAGCAAGAAAGTGTACACTCACCCACACACCAAAGTCCAGATTGGTCCCTGATGTGTTACCGTGTGTTACACCAGAGGCCATCTGCTTTCAAACGCACCATATGGGTGACCCCCAAGGGTGGCGGGGCTTAGTGCAGCTCACTGTATATAGATTTTCTATTGGGTTATTGACTGTACGTTTTGTTTATTCCATATGTAACTCTGTGTTGTTGTTTTTAATCGCACTGCTTTGCTTCATCTTGGCCAGGTCGCAGTTGTAAATGAGAACTTGTTCTCAACTGGCTTACCTGGTTAAATAAAAAAATAATTTAAAAAAAGCTCGCTACGCCACAGGCTGGGGTGAAGAAACAGCCACGGACGCCAGTGCTAACAGACTACCAACATGATAACACACTGCTAACTCACCAATACTAGCAGTGCCATGCTGTCAAAGGACCCTCTGGCTTCACTAGGCTATGACATGGCTGGGAGATTGTAGCTAATAGCCTAGCCTGTTTTCTAAGTGAAAAGTCCAAGGACCCTTCCATCAGACCTTCTTCTCTAAAGTGTTTTGAGAAGGAGGCAAGGATAGAGGATGCAAGGAATCTAGGAAGGATGAATTGAGAAGGAGCCCAGGAGTCATTATGAACTAGGCATAACAGCAATTTCTGGGTGCCTCTCAATTGCCTTTCCTGTTATATAGTTTCCTGTGACAAATCTGTCACAACGACACATCTCCATTCCCACTAAGTGAGTCATTCAAGTAGCTTTGCAAAAGGTCAAGTCCTGTGTGAATGACTGAGGATGTTAAATGAACTCAATTTAAAAGTTGTGAAATAATGAAGCCACAGCACTTTCTTTTTATTCACCATGACTGGCTCATTTGGAGAAAGCGGTCTTGTCATTTCTCGGACCTGAGTGGATGCTAACAGGGTGAACAGGACGTGTATCCACACAGACTGAGCCAAGCTAGCTAAGAAATCAAGGGTAATTGTCCATCGCTCCTTAAAAGCCGCCTGCAGCCTTTAATTCTAATTGCCTGTTTATTTTGCTTCTAAGCACTTTGATATTCTTTGTAATAAAAAGTTATATAAAAGCACAATTATTATTATTATTATTATTATTTTAAAAATATGACCGTAGTATGGCCTGGCTGGTCTACCGGTAATGCCCCTGCCTCCGTAGTGTGCCTGGCTGGTCTAGCGGTAATTCCCCTGGCCTCCGTAGTATGGCCTGGCTGGTCTAGCGGTAATGCCCCTGCCTCCGTAGTATGGCCTGGCTGGTCTAGCGGTAATGCCCCTGGTCTCCGTAGTATGTCCTGGCTGGTCTAGCGGTAATGCCCCTGGTCTCCGTAGTATGGCCTGGCTGGTCTAGCGGTAATGCCCCTGGCCTCCGTAGTATGGCCTGGCTGGTCTAGCGGTAATGCCCCTGGTCTCCGTAGTATGGCCTGGCTGGTCTAGCGTAATGCCCCTGTCTCCGTATATGTCCCTGGCTGGTCTAGCGGTTAATGCCCCTGTCTCCGTAGTGTGGCCTGGCTGGTCTAGCGGTAATGCCCCTGGTCTCCGTAGTATGGCCTGGCTGGTCTAGCGGTAATGCCCCTGGTCTCCGTAGTATGGCCTGGCTGGTCTAGCGGTAATGCCCCTGCCTCCGTAGTATGGCCTGGCTGGTCTAGCGGTAATGCCCCTGCCTCCGTAGTATGGCCTGGCTGGTCTAGCGGTAATGCCCCTGCCTCCGTAGTATGGCCTGGCTGGTCTAGCGGTAATGCCCCTGGTCTCCGTAGTATGGCCTGGCTGGTCTAGCGGTAATGCCCCTGGTCTCCGTAGTATGGCCTGGCTGGTCTAGCGGTAATGCCCCTGGTCTCCGTAGTATGGCCTGGCTGGTCTAGCGGTAATGCCCCTGGTCTCCGTAGTATGGCCTGGCTGGTCTAGCGGTAATGCCCCTGCCTCCGTAGTATGGCCTGGCTGGTCTAGCGGTAATGCCCCTGCCTCCGTAGTATGGCCTGGCTGGTCTAGCGGTAATGCCCCTGCCTCCGTAGTATGGCCTGGCTGGTCTAGCAGTAATGCCCCTGGTCTCCGTAGTATGGCCTGGCTGGTCTAGCGGTAATGCCCCTGCCTCCGTAGTATGGCCTGGCTGGTCTAGCGGTAATGCCCCTGCCTCCGTAGTATGGCCTGGCTGGTCTAGCAGTAATGCCCCTGGTCTCCGTAGTATGGCCTGGCTGGTCTAGCAGTAATGCCCCTGCCTCCGGTACATGTCTACATTGTCGGCACGGGTTCGAATCCGGCCGATTGCCCTTTGACACAACCTCTATCTTTCACCACTGTGATCCTCTATCTGTTCAATATTAGTCGGGAAATACTTTACAAATACATACATACATATATATATACACATACACACACACACATACATACACATTAAAAAATGATTGTAGTGTACCTTAAACATCTGCTTAACTTTCTGGCGGGGTAGGTTGACGTTGAGCTTGTGGAGGAGCTGCAGGACCTCGCTGATGCTCAGGCTTCCATCGCCGTTCTTATCTGCCTCCGTAAACGTCTGCTTCAGCCACGTACCAACCAACCAGGGGTTAAGGATAGATAACACACACAACGGACAACAACAACAACCTACTGATGTCATACTTTGTTTTAAAATAGTCCTTTGTAAGAGAACTGTCCCATGAACTATGCACAGCTGGTCACATGAATTGATTAATCGCTTCATCGATCGATCAAGTATAGACTGCAACAGAAAGTTTACAGCTAGCGTGGTTCACAATATTTAGCGAAGGTCGTCTAAGTGAATCTCTGTTCAGAGCCCAAACAGTTGTGAAACAACGCAAAACCTTCTGATCTCTAACACAGCTCTTACTCCTTTCATCAGCATGTCAGGCTCGGTGGCATGCCGAAGCCGCAGCGTGTATCCAATCCATGTCAGTCTGTGTGTGTGTGGGGAGAGAAACAACGTGTGTGTGTGTTTGTGTGTAAGAGTGGAGTGCACTGTGTGTACATGCGTGATAACATTATTCACAACCGATTCAAGTATTGAAAAGTTCGGTAAGCATTGCGGTTTTGGGGGTCATGGTTTGTTTCAGTTTCGGTACAATGACAGTTACTGTTGTTTATTTGTTTTCTCATTTGAAGAAAATCCAAAGTGTTGGTACTCCCGACTCCATATCTTGGGGGGGGGGGTTCCATCTTGCTCAGTTGGTAGGAATAACGGCGTGATGTCGGCGTAAGTGTGTCAACATTTATTGTTACAGTTGTTTTACAGAGATTTCACCCCACGCTTCCTGAAGCACCTCCCACAAGTTGGATTGGCTTGATGGGCACTTCTTACATACCATACGGTCAAGCTGCTCCCACAACAGCTCAATAGGGTTCAGATCCGGTGACTGTGCTGGCCACTCCATTATAGACAGAATACCAGCTGACTGCTTCTTCCCTAAATAGTTATTGCATAGTTTGGAGCTGTACTTTGGGTCATTGTCCTGTTGTAGGAGGAAATTGGCTCCAATCAAGTGCCGTCCACAGGGTATGGCATGGCGTTGCAAAATGGAGTGATAGCCTTCCTTCTTCAAGATCCCTTTTACCCTGTACAAATCTCCCACTTTACCACCACCAAAGCACCCCCAGACCATCACATTGCCTCCACCATGTTTGACAGATGGCATCAAGCACTCCTCCAGCATCTTTTCATTTGGTCTGCTTCTCACAAATGTTCTTCTTTGTGATCCGAACACCTCAAACTTCGATTAGTCTGTCCATAACACTTTTTTCCAATCTTCCTCTGTCCAGTGTGTGTTATTTTGCCCATCTTAATCTTTTCTTTTTATTGGCCAGTCTGAGATATGTATTTTTCTTTGCAACTCTGCCTAGAAGGTCAGCATCCCGGAGTCGTCTCTTCACTGTTGACGTTGAGACTGGTGTTTTGCGGGTACTATTTAATGAAGTTGCCAGTTGAGGACCTGTGAGGAGTCTGTTTCTCAAACTAGACACTAATGTATTTGTCCTCTTGCTCAGTTGTGCACCGGGGCCTCCCACTCCTCTTTCTATTCTGGTTAGAGCCAGTTTGCGCTGTTCTGTGAAGGGAATAGTACACAGCGTTGTACGAGATCTTCAGTTTCTTGGCAATTTCTCGCATGGAATAGGCTTCATTTCTCAGAACAAGAATAGATTGACGAGTTTCAGAAGAAAGTTTTTGATTCTGGCCATTTTGAGCCTGTAATCGAACCCACAATTGCTGATGCTCCAGATACTCAACTAGTCTCAAGAAGGCCAGTTTATTGCTACTTTAATCAGCACAGCAGTTTTCAGCTGTGCTAACATAATTGCAAAAGGGTTTTCTAATGATCAATTAGCCTTTTAAAATGATAAACACAACGTGCCATTGGAACACAGGACTGATGGTTGCTGATAATGGACCTCTGTACGCCTATGTAGATATTCCATTAAAAATCAGCCGTTTCCAGCTACAATAGCCATTTACAACATTAACAAGGTCTACACCTAAGATTGAATCGTACTACACTGGCTCTGACGCTCGTCGGATGTGGCAGGGCTTGAAAACTATTACAGACTACAAAGGGAAGCACAGCCGCGAGCTGCCCAGTGACACAAGCCTACCAGACGAGCTAAACCACTTCTATGCTCGCTTCGAGGCAAGCAACACTGAAGCATGCATGAGAGCACCAGCTGTTCCGGATGACTATGTGATCACGCTCTCCGTAGCCGATGTGAGTAAGACTTTTAAGCAGGTCAACATTCACAAGGCCGCAGGGCCAGACGGATTACCAGGACGTGTACTCCGAGCATGTGCTGACCAACTGGCAAGTGTCTTCACTGACATTTTCAACATGTCCCTGACTGAGTCTGTAATACCAACATGTTTCAAGCAGACCACCATAGTCCCCGTGCCCAAGGACTCTAAGATAACCTGCCTAAATGACTACCGACCCGTTGCACTGACGTCTGTAGCCATGAAGTGCTTTGAAAGGCTGGTCATGGCTCACATCAACAACATTATCCCAGAAACCCTAGACCCACTCCAATTTGCATACCGCCCCAACAGATCCACAGATGATGCAATCTCTATTGCACTCCACACTGCCCTTTCCCACCTGGACAAGAGGAACACCTACGTGAGAATGCTATTCATTGACTACAGCTCAGCATTCAACACAGTAGTGCCCTCTAAGCTCATCCTAAGCTAGGATCCTGGACTAAACACCCCTCTGCAACTGGATCCTGGACTTCCTGACGGGCCGCCCCCAGGTGGTAAGGGTAGGTAACAACACATCTGCCACACTGATCCTCAACACGGGGGCCCCTCAGGGGTGCGTGCTCAGTCCCCTCCTGTACACTCTGTTCACCCATGACTGCATGGCCAGGCACGACTCCAACACCATCATTAAGTTTGCCGACGACACAACAGTGGTAGGCCTGATCACCGACAACGATGAGACAGCCTATAGGGAGGAGGTCAGAGACCTGGCCGTGTGGTGCCAGGACAACAACCTCTCCCTCAACGTGACCAAGACAAAGGAGATGATTGTGGACTACAGGAAAAAAAAGAGGACTGAGCACGCCCCCATTCTCATCGACGGGGCTGTAGTGGAACAGGTTGAGAGCTTCAAGTTCCTTGGTGTCCACATCACCAACGAACTATCATGGTCCAAACACACCAAGACAGTCGTGAAGAGGGCACGACAAAGCCTATTCCCCCTCAGGAGACTGAAAAGATTCGGCATGGGTCCTCAGATCCTCAAAAAATTATACAGCTGCACCATCGAGAGCATCCTGACTGGTTGCATCACCGCCTGGTATGGCAACTGCTTGGCCTCCGACCGCAAGGCACTACAGAGGGTAGTGCGTACGGCCCAGTACATCACTGGGGCCAAGCTTCCTGCCATCCAGGACCTCTATACCAGGCGGTGTCAGAGGAAGGCCCTCAAAATTGTCAAAGACTCCAGCCACCCTAGTCATAGACTGTTCTCCCTGCTACCGCACGGCAAGCGGTACCGGAGTGCCAAGTCTAGGTCCAAAAGACTTCTCAACAGCTTCTACCCCCAAGCCATAAGACTCCTGAACAGCTAATCATGGCTACCCGGACTATTTGCACTGCCGCCCCCACCCCATCCTTTTTACGCTGCTGCTACTCTGTTAATTATTTATGCATAGTCACTTTAACTCTACCCACATGTACATATTACTTCAACTATCTCAACTAGCCGGTGCCCCCGCACATTGACTCTGCACCGGTACCCCCCTTGTATATATAGCCTCCCTACAGTTATTTTATTTTACTTCTGCTCTTTTTTTCTCAACACTTTTTTTGTTGTTGTTTTATTTTTACTTTTTTTGTTAAAAATAAATGCACTGTTGGTTAAGGGCTGTAAGTAAGCATTTCACTGTAATGTCTGCACCTGTTGTATTCGGCGCATGTGACCAATAAAATTTGATTTGATTTGAGTTCTGATCAATTTGATGTAATTTTAAAATGGACAAAAAAATTTGCTTTTATTTTGAAAACAAGGACATTTCTAAATGACCCCAAACTTCTGAACGGTAGTGTCTGTATTCATTCGGGTTCACAGTGTGGGCCAAACAGAGAGGTCCCAGTACCTTACTGTTCGGTACGAATACGTGTACAGTTAAACCCCTACAAAAATGGCACATGAACTCCTCTCCTGACCTGACTGAATAAAAATCCAATTGACCTGTGGGAAAAAATATGTATTCACTAACTGTAAGTCGCTCTGGATAAGAGCGTCTGCTAAATGACGTAAATGTAAATGTAAATGTATTCACAAGGCAAGGGAAGAAAAGTGGGAGGGACCAACTGAACTTGTCCAATTACAAGGGCTCCTTTTATGTTGCAAAACGTTTTGCTACAGTGTGCACTAATGAATATGACCCTGCTCTCCGATGACTAAACCCGTGCCCAGAGACAGCTGAACATGCCCAGGTAAGGATATTGGTCGCGGGTGCGCTGCCTCTTGGCCAGGCTGTCCTCGTCGCTGATGCCCGCCACCAGGTACTTGAGGCCGGTGATCCAGGTGCGTGCTTCCTCGCCCGTGCTGGAGACCAAGTCCAGGGACTCCAAGCGCTCGCCGTAGTACAGGCTGAAACAGCAGTTGGGATCAAAGCTGCCCTCAGAGTAGCGCTGGAAGATCTCCGACTGCTTACCCTCGCACACCTCTCGGATGGAGTCGATGGAGACTAGAGAGCGAGGGAGAAAGGAAACAATGGTTAGTTCACCATCACTCTGAAAAAGTCAGGTGAAACACAAACTCTGACCGTTGAATTTGGGCTTTACCGCTACCCTCTTCACACTGCCAACCGGAGCATGTTAAAAGTGGCAAGACGGGGGAAGTATTCGAGGGAAACCAGAGGCACTTCAAATGTAGCCTATTGAAACTTAATAGAGAATCAGGAAGTCACTTGAGGGAGCAAATCCATTTATATAACCCTTACATTCATATTATATTGAGCTATGTTATTAAGATGAAACACTTAGGGGATGGTAATGACATTTTACAGGAAGAAATTCATTAACATTTAGTTTATTTTTTCCAAACTGATTATACAGTCGCTAGTGAGTCTACACACCCCTTCCAGTCTTCACATTTTGCTGCCTTAAAATACAATTTTAAAAAAAGGGATTAAATAGGGATTTTTTTCCTACAGATCTACACAAACTACTCCACATTTTAAAAGTGAAAGAAATAAGCTAAAATCGTACAAAACAAAATCGTAACTGCCAAAATAATGGAAACACTTGAGTAAATGAAGGATAAAAAGTATATTGAAAGCATGTGCTTCCACACAGGTGTGGTTCCTAAATTAAAGTTTTAAATTGTAATCCTTTAGCAGACACTCTTATCCAGAGCGACAACTAGGGTTAAGTGCCTTGCTCAAGGGCACATCCGATTTGTCACCTAGTCGGATCTGGATTCGCTCTTAAAATCGCTAGGCTATCTGCCGCCCTAGTTAATTAAGCATTAGCATCCAGCTTGGGGTCATGTATAAAAATGCTGGGTTGGCCATTATTTTGGCTACCATGGCTATGCCCACATAGGATGACAATGCCCCCATCCACAGGGCACAAGTGGTCACTGAATGGTTTGATGAGCATGAAAACGAATAATGTCATATGCCATGGCCGTCACAGTCACCAGATCTAAACCCAATTGAACACTTTCTGGAGCGGCGCCCGAGACAGCGTTTTCCACCACCATCAACAAAACACCAAATGATGGAATTTCTCGTGGAAGAATGGTGCCGCATCCCTCCAATAGAATTCCAGACAATTGTAGAATCTATGACAAGGTGCATTGAAGCATTTTTTTTTTTTTTTTTTGTGATATCCAAATTGGTTGTTACAGTCTTGTCCCATCGCTGCAACTCCCGTACAGACTCGGGAGAGGCGAAGGTCGAGAGCCGTGCGTCCTCCGAAACACGACCCTGCCAAGCCGCACTGCTTCTTGACACACTGCTCGCTTAACAAGGAAGCCAGCCGCACCAATGTGTCGGAGGAAACACCATCCAGCTGGCGACCAAATTCAGCTTTCAGGCGCCAGGCACGCCACAAGGAGTTGCTAGAGCGCGACGGGACAAGGAAATCCCGGCCGGCCAAACCCTCCCCTAACCCGGACGACGCTGGGCCAATTTTGCCGACTGCGACACAGCCCGGGATCGAACCCGGGTCTGTAGTGACACCTCAAGCACTGTGATGCAGTGCCTTAGACCACTGCGCCACTCGGGAGGCGCATTGAAGCTGTTCTGGCTCATGGTTACCCAACACTCTATTACGACACTATGTTGGTGTTTCCTTTATTTTGGCAGTTACCTGTATATCCATAGTTTGTGTCAAAATTGCTCAAGATCAGTACATTTGGTTGGGAATCATTGATGGACAGCAATATTCAAACCTTGTCTCTGATTTTCAAGCAGATTTAAGTCAGGGCTGAGACTGGACCATTCAGGGACACTCAATACTTATTGGAAAGCCATTTTGGTGTGGTTTTTGCATTACAATGTGTAATTGTCCCTCTCAAAAGGAAAACTATCACAGGGTTAGATTTTTAAAAGACAACCGCGGGTTTTCCGCCAACATTTGACCTGGGCTTTGCTCTTTCATATATTTATTTTGATCCTGACAAACTCCCCAGTCCCTGCAGTTGACAAGCATACCCATAACATGATGCTGCCACCACAACACTTAAAATTAGAGGGTTTCACTCTGTGTTGTGTTGTATTGGATTTGACCCAAGCCTGTAGTTTTTTTAATTTAGGCCAAAAAGTTCATGTCTTTGCCGTGTTGTCTTGCAGTATTACTTAACGGCCTTGTTGCAAACAGAATGGATGATTTGGAGTGGATTTTTTAACACAGGATATGTTCTAGGTAACTATTTTCAACATGTATAGTATAGTATAGTGTTTGAAACACCAAGTTCAGTCCAACATCAAAAAAATGGCTTAGATCAAGCTTAATTTTATCAATTCCAAAACTGTTATTCATTAGATCTACTTCATCTTTTTGATCAGTTACTTTCAGTGATCATGTCTTAATGTTTTAATATATACACTACTGCTTAAAAGTTTGGGGTCACTTAGAAATGTCCTTGTTATTGAAAGAAAAGCAATTTTTTTGTCCATTAAATTAACATCAAATTGATCAGAAATACAGTGTAGACATTGCTAATGTTGTAAATGGCTATTGTAGCTGGAAATGGCAGATTTTTTTAGAGGCCCATTATCAGCAACCATCAGTCCAGTGTTCCAATGACACGTTGTGTTTGCTAATCCAAGTTTATCATTTTAAAAGGCTAATTGATCATTAGAAAACCCTTTTGCAATTATGTTAGCACAGCTGAAAACTGTTGTGCTGATTAAAGAAGCAATTAAACTGGCCTTCTTGAGACTAGTTGAGTATCTGGAGCGTCAGCAATAGTGGGTTCGATTACTGGCTCAAAATGGCCAGAAACAAATAACTTTCTTCTGAAACTCGGCAGTCTATTCTTGTTCTGAGAAATGAAGGCTATTCCATGCGAGAAATTGCCAAGAAACTGAAGATCTCGTACAACGCTGTGTACTACTCCCTTCACAGAACAGCGCAAACTGGCTCTAACCAGAATAAAAAGAGGAGTGGGAGGCCCCGGTGCACAACTGAGCAAGAGGACAAATACATTAGTGTCTAGTTTGAGAAACAGACTCCTCACATGTCCTCAACTGGCAGCTTCATTAAATAGTACCCGCAAAACACCAGTCTCAACGTCAACAGTGAAGAGGCGACTCTGGGATGCTGACCTTCTAGGCAGAGTTGCAAAGAAAAAGCCATCTCTCAGACTGGCCAATAAAAAGAAAAGATTAAGATGGGCAAAAGAACACACACTGGACAGAGGAAGATTGGAAAAAAGAGTTATGGACAGACTAATCGAAGTTTGAGGTGTTCGGATCACAAAAAAGAACATTTTTGAGAAGCAGACCAAACAAGGTCATTTCTAAGTGACCCCAAACTTTTGAACAGTAGTGTGTGTGTGTGTAGATATATATATATATATATATATATATATATATATATAGGTCTTCGATTATTTGCCATTTTGACCAACTAGCAGGCATTGCTGAACACAGTGCTCATTCCACTAGCAGTCAGTGGAGGTAGAACTGCAAGCATTGAACGATGATGCATGTGCCTCTAGCATTAAGGGTTGTGCCCATGACCTTGTTGATGGTGGGAATGGGTAGTCTCATCTTTGAACGTCAATTTGCCAGACGGTTTTGAAATCCGTTCATCATGATCCATTACACCTCATAGCACAACAAACTGCTTAATACTGATATATATGCTTTTCTTTCTTCAAACATGCTGATAACGTTAAGAAAAAGTATCAGTCTAAAAATGTTGAATTACCCACAATCCTCTAAAAAACGGAGCCACATGGCAAGTTGATGCAAAAACTTTGAATTCTTAAATTAAAACAGTATATTAAATTGAATTCACATTTTAGAATGTCATGCTTTTTTAACACAAAAATGAAGGTAATCAAATATTAAAAGTAAGAAAAGAAACCAGAATATTTACTAATCCTGAATAATGTTTTACAATGCAGGCTTCCTTCTTTACACTTTGTCTTACAAGCCAGTAATGTGGAGTGAATGCAAAGTTGATCCTCTGTATTTTCATGTAATGTGGAAGCAGCATCATGTTATGGGTATGCTTTTCACAAGCAGGGACTGGGGAGTTTGTCAGGATCAAATAAATATGAAAGGAGCAAAGCCAAGGTAAAATGTTAGCGGGGATAGAGTTTTAATTTTTCAGCAAGACAGTTACACATATTTTAATGCCAAAGACACACTAGAATGGCTTCCCAAGAGGAGTTGAGTGTTCCTAAGTGGTCCAGTCTCAGTCATGACTAAAGTTTTGAATATTGCTGTCCATCAATGACAGGGCAAACATTTTCTGAGCTTGAGCCATTTTGACAAAAACAATGGATATATGTTGTTCATTTGGAAAAAGTCATAGCATTTTCTTTCACTTTGAAAACGTGGAGTAGGTTGTGTAGATCTTTAAGAAAAGACATCCTATGTAATCACCTTTGGGGTTTTTTGGGGCAGCGAAATGTGGAGACTGTGCAAGGGGAGTGTGTGTATACTTTCAATAGGCACGTGGTGACCATTTTGAGTTGACCTCAAGCCCACTCAATGTTCTGAGACCGAAAAGGTGAGTAGTGTACGACTGTCACGTTGGCCTGTTAAATTGGTTGCATATATATATATATATATATATATATATATATAGATCTATATATATATATATATATATATATATAGATATATATATATATATATATATATATATATATATATATATATATATATATACACACACACACACACATGCATACAGTGGGGAAAAAAAAGTATTTAGTCAGCCACCAATTGTGCAAGTTCTCCCACTTAAAAAGATGAGAGAGGCCTGTAATTTTCATCATATGTACACGTCAACTATGACAGACAAAATTAGAATTTTTTTTCCAGAAAATCACATTGTATGATTTTTTATGAATTTATTTGCAAATTATGGTGGAAAATAAGTATTTGGTGACCTACAAACAAGCAAGATTTCTGGCTCTCACAGACCTGTAACTTCTTCTTTAAGAGGCACCTCTGTCCTCCACTCGTTACCTGTATTAATGGCACCTGTTTGAACTTGTTATCAGTATAAAAGACACCTGTCCACAACCTCAAACAGTCACACTCCAAACTCCACTATGGCCAAGACCAAAGAGCTGTCAAAGGACACCAGAAACAAAATTGTAGACCTGCACCAGGCTGGGAAGACTGAATCTGCAATAGATAAGCAGCTTGGGTTGAAGAGATCAACTGTGGGAGCAATTATTAGGAAATGAAAGACATACAAGACCACTGATAATCTCCCTCGATCTGGGGCTCCACGCAAGATCTCACCCCGTGGGGTCAAAATGATCACAAGAACGGTGAGCAAAAATCCCAGAATCACACGGGGGGGACCTAGTGAATGACCTGCAGAGAGCTGGGACCAAAGTAACAAAGCCTACCATCAGTAACACACTACGCCGCCAGGGACACAAATCCTGCAGTGCCAGACGTGTCCCCCTGCTTAAGCCAGTACATGTCCAGGCCCGTCTGAAGTTTGCTAGAGTGCTTTTGGATGATCCAGAAGAGGATTGGGAGAATGTCATATGGTCAGATGAAACCAAAATAGAACTTTTTGGTAAAAACTCAACTCGTCGTGTTTGGAGGACAAAGAATGCTGAGTTGCATCCAAAGAACACCATACCTACTGTGAAGCATGGGGGTGGAAACATCATGCTTTGGGGCTGTTTTTCTGCAAAGGGACCAGGACGACTGATCCGTGTAAATGAAAGAATTAATGGGGCCATGTATCGTGAGATTTTGAGTGAAAACCTCCTTCCATCAGCAAGGGCATTGAAGATGAAAAGTGGCTGGGTCTTTCAGCATGACAATGATCCCAAACACACCGCCCGGGCAACGAAGGAGTGGCTTCGTAAGAAGCATTTCAAGGTCCTGGAGTGGCCTAGCCAGTCTCCAGATCTCAACCCCATAGAAAATCTTTGGAGGGAGTTGAAAGTCCGTGTTGCCCAGCGACAGCCCCAAAACATCACTGCTCTAGAGGAGATCTGCATGGAGGAATGGGCCAAAATACCAGCAACAGTGTGTGAAAACCTTGTGAAGACTTACAGAAAACGTTTGACCTGTGTCATTGCCAACAAAGGGTATATAACAAAGTATTGAGAAACTTTTGTTATTGATCAAATACATATTTTCCACCATAATTTGCAAATAAATTCATTAAAAATCCTACAATGTGATTTTCTGGATTTTCTTCCCTCATTTTGTCTGTCATAGTTGACGTGTACCTATGATGAAAATTACAGGCCTCTCTCATCTTTTTAAGTGGGAGAACTTACACAATTGGTGGCTGACTAAATACTTTTTTCCCCCCACTGTATACATACATACACACACACACACACACACACACACACACACATACATTCAGGCTCTGATCAGTCCCTACATCCAAACGAGGGCATTGCGTTCATCCACCTCTGGCCTGCTGGCTCCCCTTCCTCTGCGGAAGCATAGTTCCCGCTCAGCCCAGTCAAAACTGTTCGCTGCTCTGGCACCCCAATGGTGGAACAAGCTCCCTCACGACGCCAGGACAGCGGAGTCACTCACCACCTTCCGGAGACATTTGAAACCCCACCTCTTTAAGGAATACCTGGGATAGGATAAACTAATCCTTCTACCCCCCCCCCCCCCTAAAAAATAAAATAAAAAATATAAAAAAGAAAAAATATATTGTAAAGTGGTTGTCCCACTGGCTATAGGGTGAATGCACCTATTTGTAAGTCGCTCTGGATAAGAGCGTCTGCTAAATGACGTAAATGTAATGTAAAATGTATACATACACACACTACCAGTCAAAAGTTGACACCTACTAATTCCAGGGTTTTTCTTTATTTTTACTATTTTCTACATTGTAGAATAGTGAAGACATCAAAACTATGAAATAACACATGGAATCATGTACTAACCAAAAAAAGTGTTGAACAAATCAAAATATATTTATATTTTTCAAAGTAGCCACCCTTTGCCTTGATAACAGCTTTGCACACTCTTGGCATTCTCTCAACCAACTTCATGAGGAATTATTTTCCAACAGTCTTGAAGGAGTTCCCACATATGCTGAGCACTTGTTGGCTGCTTTTCCTTCACTCTGTAGTCCAACTCATCCCAAACCATCTCAAATTGGGTTGAGGTCGGGTGATTGTGGAGGCCAGGTCATCTGATGCAGCACTCCATCACTCTCCTTCTTGGTCAAATAGCCCCTACACAGCCTGGAGGTGTGTTGGGTCATTGTCCTGTTGAAAATCAAATGAGTCCCACTAAGTCCAAACCAGATGGGATGGCGTATCGCTGCAGAATGCTGTGGTAGCCATGCTGGTTAAGTGTGCCTTGAATTCTAAATAAATCACAGACAGTGTCAGCAGCAAAGCACCCCCACACCATAACACCTCCTCCTCCATGCTTTACGGTGGGAAATACACATGCGGAGATCATCCATTCACCCACACCACGTCTTACAAAGCCACGGAGGTTGTAACCAAAACTCTCTAATTTGGACTCCACACCAAAGGACACATTTCCACCGGTTTAATGTCCATTGCTCGTGTTTCTTAGCCCACGCAAGTCTCTCCTTCTTATTGGTGTCCTTTAGTAGTGGTTTCTTTGCAGCAATTCGACCATGAAGGCCTGATTCACGCAGTCCCCTCTGAACAGTTGATGTTGAGATGTGTCTGTTACTTGAACTCTGTGAAGTATTTATTTGGGCTGCAATTTCTGAGGCTGACAACTCTAATTAACTTATCCTCTGCAGCAGAGGTAACTCTGGGTCTTCCATTCCTGTGGCGGTCCTCATGAGAGCCAGTTTCATCATAGCGCTTGATGGTTTTTGAGACTGCACTTCAAGAAACGTTCAAAGTTCTTGAAATTTCCCAGATTGACTGACCTCCATGTCTTAAAGTAATGATGGACTGTTGTTTCTCTTTGCTTATTTGAGCTGTTCTTGCTATAATAATAATAATAATAATAATAATAATAATAATAATAATAATAATAATAATATTATAATATGCCATTTAGCAGACTCTTTTATCCAAAGTGTGCATACATTTTTACGTATGGGTGGTCCCGAGGATCGAACCCACTACCCTGGTGTTACAAGCGCCATGCTCTATCAATTGAGCTACAGAGGACCACATTGAGCTACAGAGGACCATAATAATAATATGGACTTGGTCTTTTACGAAATAGGGCTATCTTCTGTATAACCCCCCCCCCACCTTGTCACAACACAACTGATTGGCTCAAATGCATTAAGAAGGAAAGAAATTCCACAAATTAACATTTAAGGCACACCTGTTAATGGAAATGCATTCCAGGTGACTACCTCATGAAGCTGGTTGAGAGAATGCCAAGAGTGTGCAAAGCTGTCATCAAGGCAAAGGGTGGCTATTTGAAGAATCTCAAATATATTTTGATTTGTTTAACACTTTTTTTTGGTTACTACATGATTCCATGTGTTTTATTTCATAGTTTTGATGTCTTCACTATTATTCTACAATGTAAAAAATAAAGAAAAACCCTTGAATGAGTAGGTGTGTCCAAACTTTTGACTGGTAGTAATATATATATATATATATCTGGTTCCAAGGAGCTCTCTCCGTGTCATTCTTCTATATGCCAGCACCTGGGGTTGATGTGGACCTGTTGAACATTTGTAATCCCATTGGAAAGACTAACTAGCTGGTCTATAGGCCATCCAACCTGAGCAAAACAATCAGTTAGTCCAAAAGCCTTTGTGCCTTTGATTCATGCTGGGAAGTGCACAACGTGTATTCTGTCTTCTCATAATATAAATCCTTAAAGAGGTGGGTGGGGCTAAGGTTTAAGATTTAACAATCCTGAATGGGTGTAGACAAAGAAAAACTCTACAGTAGGTGTACCAAAACATTCAAGGGTCATTTTCTCAAAAGTGGAGTTACAAGTTTATCAACATTCAAAGCAGAATTACTTTCCCATTGTTCCTCAACTGCAGTGTACGATATACAATTTTCTAGCTCTGAGTCTCTACTTTCATCCAATGTAAAAAAAATAAAAAAAAACATTTAAAATGTTGCTACATCAGACCGAATCGAGCCGGTCGGTCACATATAGCCACCTACATATAGCACATTTACCTTACATTCAGGCAGTGTACGCCTTGACGGTAATCAATGAATTTACCAACAAATTAATACAATAATGTTTGTTGATGCATTTCAGTTAAACTGCATAGATGAAGTGTTCATTTTAGAATAGCCACAGAGCACCCACCAGTGGATGCATGTAACACAGAGAGGAGAGTGTGTGTGTGTGTTTGTGCAGATGTGTGTTTGTTTCAGTGTGCGTGTGCATGCGTTTCCCTGATCTCATCCATCTATACCATATATGTCTCACAATGAACGGCAGTCTCAGATCACGTCCTGTACAGGAGGGCAGTAGAGAAATGATCAATAGAGAAATTGTTATATACTGTGCCTAGTGACAGTCTTCACATCCTTGTACAGTTTTACACATTTTATTGCCTTCGATTCAAATCTGCATATTATTATTTTTTTATTAAGAATCATTCTAAAATATAAAAATAAATAAAAAAGGAGCCGTCTTGACAATGTATATCCATTGCTCATTTGTTTCAAGTGAATCCTAAATGATTCCTGTGAATCCTAAATGATTCCTGTGCTGTTCGGTACAACAGCAATAGGCTTAGTGGGAGAGATGGAAGTGCTGATTGTTGATGTGAGACAGACTAAAAGGGACTTTCACACTAACATGTAATAAAAACTGACCGTGAAGCTGGAAATCCTCAATTCCTTTTAATTCCAGGTCAATACAGAAGTAGGGAAGTAAAATGTGAGACCTTGGATGAGGGTCAGTCAGTCAGCCAGTCAGCCAGCCAGCCAGCCAGCCAGCCAGCCAGCCAGCCAGCCAGCCAGCCAGCCAGTCAGCCAGCCAGCCAGACAGCCAGTTAGTAAAAGAGACTCACTCTTAGACTTGTAATTCAAGTACTATTGAACAGACAAGTCTCAACTCCTGTCAATTATAAGTCTAAGCAGGTCAGTCATTCATTCAGTCAATCAGTAAATGAGACAGTAAAACCACTCACTCTTGGCCTTCTCGTTCTTGCGCGAGGGCCGCCAGCGGATGCAGGACTTGTGTTGGTCCAGGTAGAAGTAACGCACCAGTCCCCTGGAGCCTCCACGCAGCTTCACCATCTGGGTCCCTGTCTGCATGGAGCTCATGCATTTCTCCACTAGAGAGAACAACAGAGAGAGAGGGTCAGAGTCAGAGAGAGAGAGGGGGTCAGAGTCAGAGAGAGAGAGGGTTAGAGTCAGAGAGAGAGAGGGTTAGAGTCAGAGCGAGAGAGGGTCAGAGAGAGAGAGAGAAGGTCAGAGTCAGAGAGGGAGGATCAGAGTCAGAGAGAGAGAGGGTCAGAGTCAGAGAGAGAGAGGGGGTCAGAGTCAGAGAGAGAGAGGGGGTCAGAGTCAGAGAGAGAGGGTTAGAGTCAGAGAGAGAGAGAGAGGGTTAGAGTCAGAGAGAGAGGGTTAGAGTCAGAGAGAGAGAGGGTCAGAGAGAGGGAGAGAAGGTCAGGGTCAGAGAGAGAGGGTCAGAGTCAGAGAGAGAGAGGGTCAGAGTCAGAGAGAGAGTGAGGGTCAGAGTCAGAGAGAGAGGGTCAGAGTCAGAGAGAGAGAGAGAGAGGGTTAGAGTCAGAGAGAGAGAGGGTTAGAGTCAGAGAGAGAGAGGGTCAGAGTCAGAGAGAGAGAGGGTCAGAGTCAGAGAGAGAGAGGGTCAGAGTCAGAGAGAGAGAGAGGGTTAGAGTCAGAGAGAGAGAGCGGGTCAGAGAGAGAGAGGGTCAGAGAGAGAGAGGGTCAGAGTCAGCGAGAGAGAGGGTCAGCGAGAGAGAGGGTCAGAGTCAGCGAGAGAGAGGGTTAGAGTCAGCGAGAGCTGTTACATGAGTTGTTGTTCCTGTGTGTGAGATGTGTGTAGAGCACTTTCGTGTTCAATTGAGAGTCTCTCTGAGACATTTACTCTCACACACACACACACACAGCATTTAATAAATCAAATCAAAATGGATTTGGCTGTCACGGGAATACGGCTGTCACGGGAATACGGCTGTCACGGGAACACGGCTGTCACAGCCGCCAGTTTTTTACTTGGCAGGAGTGAATGAGTAGAGCAAGGCGATTTCTTCCCCAAACCCCCTTAACCAGAAACATACTGTAGTTCACTGGTGAGACCAATAACTGCTGCAGTACTACCATCACAGCCCTCTGGAAGAACAACACTGCATCACTGACTGCATCCATCCCTCAATACCCTGCCTTCATCTTAGCTCTTCATATCCCCTGGTACGGACAGACAGCTACTCCAGGACAGAATCTACACTACTGTGTGTGTTGGGGGGTTAGAAGTCGACAGCCCCGGTGGTGCCCCAGGAGTCCCCTGCTGACAGACTAATTGAGTAAGCTGAGAAGAGTAGCGGGAGAGAGAGAGAGAGAGAGAGAGAGAGAGAGAGAGAGAGAGAGAGAGAGAGGGGGGGGGGGGGGGGGGTTAGAGAGAGAGAGAGGGGTGAGAGAGAGGGAGAGAGGGGTTAGAGAGAGAGGGGTGAGAGAGCGAGGGAGAGAGGGGTGAGAGAGCGAGGGAGAGAGGGGTGAGAGAGCGAGGGAGAGAGGGGTGAGGTGGTGAGAGAGCAGGGTTAGATCAATTGGTAGGGAAGGGTAAAGTAGCAGAGCAGAAAGCCCTCTCCCCCTGTTGCCGATGTTGGATTTTCAAAAGGCAGAATCTAATTTAAATCTGGTCTAACAAAACTATTTTTAAAGCGAGCCACATTCTGATTGCACTGTACAGAACAGCAGTCCAAAATAGTAGAGGGGAACAGGAGAAACAGGGGAGGCAAAGATGATGGGAGAGACAATGCCTTCAAGGAGTTATACTGTCGGTCTAAACTGGGGGAGATGGAATGTGTCAATTAATTGGTTGTTGGGTACAGAACACCACATTATTCTACATGGCTGGGGTCACTTCAATTCCTTTGTTGACTTGAACATGGGATTTCTCCATAGGAATGCAATTCAATTGTATTCAATGCAATTGGCTGGAATTTAGATGGAATTGACCCCACCCTGATATTTGGCAATGGGAAAATAAACACTGCATGTTTTTCCAAAGTGGCTATGACCCACTTCAATACATTTGAAACGTCAAGGCTATTCACAGCCCATGGAAGCCTGAACAATCAAAGGTCTTCTTATCAATTAGGCAACAGTCCAGTGGGGCTTCTTTAGGATGTCTCTTCCTCTTCCCCTCTTGGAGAAGCAGCAGCTGGCGGAGCAATTACAGACAAACTCGTCAAACTGGGTTAGAGACACATTGTGAAGACGACGATAATGTCAAGGAATCTGTAGGTAATGTTGCACAATGTAACTCCACTGCACAGAAGCACCGTAGAAAAGAACTGGGACGTGTTCTAAGAAGGAAAATAAAACGTGTTCCAACTGTGTGCGTACTGCAGGGTTTCTCCAGACATCCCCCTTGGGAACACACAGGGGGGGGGCACATTTTTGCTTCCGCTCAATGATTCAGGTGGGTAGAATCAAAATGTGCCCCCCCCCTCAGGAATGTATTGTGAAACACTGGTGATATGATGAATGAAGATTGAGGTGAGCTGCTCCTGCTAAGAGATATCAGGCAGGCACAGAGTGACAGAAATACTGCAGTCGTACTGTAGCAAGGACTTCCTCTAACAGGCAGAGGGAAACCTCAGGGGGAGACTGGCCACTCCAAACTAACCCTTCATTGGGTAAGAGGTCGCCCGAGACTGGCCACTCCAAACTAACCCTTCATTGGGTAAGAGGTCGCCCGAGACTGGCCTCTCCAAACTAACCCTTCATTGGGTAAGAGGTCGCCAGAGACTGGCCACTCCAAACTAACCCTTTAAATCGGGTCCAGAGCTGTTGCTGTGGAAACACACTCAGGGTTATACAGTACAGGGAGATGTAAAAATTAAAGTTGAGGACAGCATCATAAACTAATGACTGTGCTTGATGAGTCTACTATAGTGTTAGAAATACAGTCTTGTGTCATGACTGTGCTTAATGATTCTACTATAGTGTTAGAAATACAGTCGTGTGTCATGACTGTGCTTAATGAGTCTAATGTATACAGAGGACAGCCAACAACAAAATGGCACCACGGCCCAGAAAACTTGGAACATCTGGGAACTACTGAAAATAAAACACATCAATTGTCATGGTATTATCCCTGGGCATAGTGACCCTTTATCACATCGATTTGTCTTTTCATTTCATTGATTGCAATTTCAGGAGAATGTCAGAATCACATGTGCACAGCGTAAAAGTGGAACATCGTGCAAGACAAGAAGGAAAAAATGAGAAATCACTTTGGGCCCAAAAGGTCTGATTTAAAAACACACAAGTGGTTTGTTTATTTCACCTTCCTCCAAAACAGCCACATAAAATCTACTGGGATTCAACAAACATTTTTAATGAGAACACTGACCAAAAAAAAAATGCTTGCTTGAAAACGAATCAAATTAAATTACACTGATCGTCAACAACAATAAAACAATTACCCAGACAAAAATTCCCAACAAATGTTTTGGGATGACTCAACAAGATTATAGTAAAACACATTACCCCGTGCCCTTAATTGGTAACTACACTCAGACTACTACTTATCGTGTGAGGGCTTTACAGCTATTTACGTTGTTACAACAGAAGCCAGACAACAGGTGATGGACACATTGACACATTTTCCGCCAGGAGGCAGCTGAGGATGAGGCAGAGGTAAGCTGGTGTCAACCTTAATGCTGTTAAAGAAACCACAGTGATGGTCATCTGGCGCCACAGTGGGAGTGCAGTCTGGGTGAACGAAGTGGGCCAGGAGAGCCAAAGGGGTGGAGTCACATCGTCCTTAGTGCACTCCGTCAGAGCAGACTAGAGCACTAGGCTAAGCTCGAGGGGATTGCCTGGAGTCATTATGTCACACACACACACACACACACACACACGTCTGTCACTGAAGTAAAAAGCAGAAACTAATAAGGCTCATAGGAGAAGTTGTTCCACCACAGTCCCACTCACTACAGTCATCTGGTAGAACCTAGAACCTAGAACCACGTATCACCAGGGCTGCATAACAAATGCGTCATGTGCCAACAACATCTAGTACCACAATCCTGAGACTCGCGCGCAGCACCAAGTTCCCCCATTCGATTTGTCTTTTCATTTCATTGACTGCAATTTTCAGGAGAATGTCAGAATCACATGTGCACAGCGTAAAAGTGGAACATCGTGCACAACAAAACAAAATGTCCTCCAGAACACTAGCTACTGTAGTCAATCGTCTACCTATTTCCAAATGCCATCCATCCATCCATCCTTACCCATGTCTCCCAGCCTCCACTTGGAGAAGGACAATATGCTGCTGCCAATCCAGAAGAACTGTTCCACCAGGCGGGACAAGGAGGCCTGCTGCTGGCTCTTACAAACAACCCTCTCCTTCTCGCCCCTCTGGATGGGGGCCTGGTCCATGGTAGGGCATGGCTCCTGGGCCGCCACCGCGGACCTCATCAGCGCAGAGGACACAGGAAAGGACATGGGAAAGAGGCCGCTCGTCATCACTGAGGCGCTCATGGCTGAAGGATTGTGGGTACCCAGTTTGCTTCTCTCAACACGAGATTGGTTGCCCCGGATACGTTCACTCAGGCGGAGTTAGCTCTGTGTTCCCTCAACGCAAATACAACAAGGACATCTAAATGATTGACTGAGGTCAATGGGGGAAAATGTTTTGTTATGATTTGGAAGGATGCTTCTCTTGTCCTTGTAGAGTTCATTAGTATACAGCCACTGTTTCCTTGGTAGACTGCCGAGAGTTAGTCACAGCGTCTGCTAACGGCCTTTTCAGTAGCCAGCTCTCCTACTCTCTAAATGAGAAACAGGTAGTCTATAAATCCAGCTTGATAAGCAGAACACCTCATTCTCTTCTCCCCTTCTTTTATTTTCTTCTCTTCAATATCCCTCCATCTTGGATGACAGAAAAGTGCACCTGCATTTTTCAGCAGCGAGACTGGGGTTGTGCCATGCATCTTTCAGCAGCGAGACTGGGGTTGTGCCATTATATCTAATTTCTTCTTCAGCTGGGGTTCAAAAGACTGCCTCTCAGACAGACAAGGGAGAAAGGAGACGCGTGTGCGGCAGTAGTGAGAGAAAGAGATTGCCAACTACAAACTGTGCAACATCTCTCTAATCCAAGTCTGAGGGATTTACTTAATGTGTGGCGAGAAAGAGAGAGAATGGGGGGGGGGGGGGGCGAGGGAGAGACATGAAACACTCCTTTTATCTCCCTCGCCGTCTCCCTCAGAGTGAGGCAGTGGTACACGGGATAATTATTACAGTTCTTTGAGAGAGCGCAATCTCCAGTTACATTCAATGGAAGGGAAAAAACTCTCCCACTTCTCTGTTCTGACTACCTGTACAATCACCTTGGGTCCCGTTTGAAAACAAACACTCCATTTTGGCTAATTTAACGACCTACTGATATTAGCGTTCAAAGACATGATAGGATACTAGTATGTATCTTTGGCAGAGGTGCTTATAAAATTACTTGAAAGCTGCAAAAGTCTAGTGGGAGGATGAAAGAGGGGTTGCAAAGCCTTACATCTGACATGGCAACAGGTCACACCTACCATTGTAAAAGAGTTGGACTCCTCTTCCATTGTTATATAACAAATCCTACAGTCCTTATTGAGAAAACACAGAAGACAAATAGTTGATTGTTGAAGTGTTATCGGGTCTTCAAAATGCCTCCGTTAAATCCTCAACCAGCTCTCCTCCCAATTAATTAGGGTGGTTACAAGAGCGGGTAAAAAAACATTCATAAAATGGTCAGTGACACCGCTTCACATCTAAAGATGGAGTTGAATAGCTTATAAAACGCACACACATGAACACCTCATCCTACCGGGGTAACTGAGGACACATTCCCATGCATTCGATATAGTCCAAAGTGGCTAAGTCATAATATCATTTCTTGATCTGAAATATCACTTGGAAACCTACTCTCCTGTGACAATGTAAAAACACCTGGTACTATGGACTGTGGTCTTTTCCCATTGCAATGTTATCTGTTTTATGAACATAAAAAGGACACAAATTGATCACCACAGCCAAAGCACAAAAGCTGACGTAAAAAAAATTGCATACACACTCCACTATTAAATAACTAACAAAACTGAGTCTTCATAATATAGATTATGACTATTAAAAGTGGATTTTAACTTGCATGTATAGTAAGTAAGTAGCCTTGCACGAGCCTTGGCTTGTGCGAGCCGGAATGGCTCATAGGAGCAGGAGTCGATCTCCTGTTTCTGTAGCGTGAGGCAGCTTGATGTACAAGTACACCCCCTGAACAGGACGCTAGTCTATCGCAGGGCCTTACCCCAAATCTTCCCTGGTACTAGTTTCACTGGCCTCGTACTCTGGGCAGATCATCCTTTAGAGACCTGGTGGCTTCAATGCAGAGCCACAGAGTCATAAGCCTTCAAAAGGAGTGTGTTATGATCTCATCAAATCACATTTTATTTGTCACATGCGCCAAATACAACAGGTGTAGACCTTACAGTGAAATGCTTACTTACAAGCCCTTAACCAACAATGCAGTTTTAAGACAAATAAAATGTTAAGTAAACAAAAGCTGTGCAATAACAGTAGCGAGGCTATATACAGGGGGTACCGGTACAGAGTCAATGTGCGGGGGCACCGTTTAGTCGAGGTAATTGAGGTAATATGTACATGTGGGTAGAGGTAAAGTAACTATGCATAGATAACAAACAGAGAGTAGCAGCAGCGTAAAAGAGGGGGTGGGGTGGGTGGACAATGCAAATAGTCTGGGTAGCCATTTGATTAGCTGTTCAGGAGTCTTATGGCTTGGGGGTAGAAGCTGTTAAGAAGCCTTTTGGTCCTAGACGTGGCGCTCCGCTCAAGTCTCTAAAGGATGCCCAGAGTAAGAGGCCAGGGAAACTACATTGGCCAGTGAAATTA